CTCTGCCTCCCAAGTGCTGGGATTAAAGGCGAGTGCCACCACGCACTTAGAGCTATAAACTTCCCTCTTAGGACTGCTTTTAAAGTGTCCCCAAGATTTTGTTGTGTTGTAGTGTACTTTTCATTTAGTTCCAGGAATACTTTTATTTCTTTCTTAATTTCTCCTTTGACCCATTCATCATTCAGGAGTGTGTTGTTTAATCTCCACGAGTTCATGTAGTTACCAAGGTTTCTTCTAGTGTTGATTTTAAGCTTTATTGCTTTGTGGTCTGATAGAATGCATGGAATTATTTCAAGTTTTTTGTATTTGTAGAGACATGTTTTGTGCCCCAGTATGTGGTTGATTTTGGAGAAAGTTCCATGAGGCGCTGAATAGCAAGTATATTCTTTGGTGCTTGGGTAGAATATTTGGTAGATATGTGTCCTAGTTTGTTCTTCATTGCTGTGACAAAATACTCTGACCACTACCAACTTTGGGAGGAAAGGGTTTATTTAGCTTACATATCCCGGGTCACAGTTTATTCAGGAGCCCAAGGTAGGATTTCAGGGCAGGAACCTGGAGGCAGGAGCTGTAGCACAGGCCATGGAGGAATGCTACTTACTGGCTTGCTCCCCTGGCCCCTGCTCAGCCTGCTTTCTTATGCTACACAGGCCCACCTGCCAGGGATGGCACCACCCACAGTGGGCTGGGCCCTCCCACATCACTCAACAATCAAGCAGGTGCCCCACGGACATGGCTACAGGCCAGTCCAATGAAGGCAATTTCCCAGTTGAGGCTCCCTCAACCCAGGTGTGTCAAGTTGACACTAAAACTATCCAGCACAATATGTTATGTCCATTTGATGTATGGTATTAATTCAGATGTTTCTCTGTTTATTCTTTGTCCTGTTGACCTGTCTAATGGAGACAGTAGGGTATTGAAGTCTCCTATTATTAGCAAGTTGGGATTAATCTGTGTCTTACAGTCCTGTAGTATTGTTTTTATGAAGGTGGGTGCACGAGAGTTTGACACATATACATTCATGATTGTAATATCTCCTTGGTCAATTGTTCCTTTGATCAGAATGAAGTAGCCCTCTTTATCTCTTCTGGTTAGTTTTAGTTTGAAGTCTGTTTTGTCCTGGGTTATTTCTAGGGGGTTCTTATTATACTCTTCTACAGGACTGTTGGTGCTTGGTGGGGACATATTTGGGTTTTTCATGTTACTATTTTTTTGTTGTGACTTTGGCATGTGGGCTTCTTTTGTTGTTTCTGATTCTTGTGTGAGACTCAAGCCTTCCATTGTTGAGTTTAGGTCTGTTTCTGTTTGTACACTTGATGTGCCTTTGTTGTTTTCTTATTGGGTATGAAAAGCTGGTTGGTATAGGCTTCAGCTTCTTTCTTTTAATTTTATATTGGAGGCACCTGATGGCTTTAGTCCAGCTCTTCATGAGTTCCCACAGCTGCTCAGGATTTCCCACAGAGGCCCAATTTGGAAGAGCATCGATGAGATGCTCTCTGGCTTTCTTCTAAGGTCTGGGTCCCTCTAGTAGGCAGGCACAGTACAATTTGGGAGGCTTGCTAGGTGGAGTTAGGATATAGGCAGTCAGGGGAGGAGGCTGGTCTTAGGAATCCCAGGCAAGTTGGGGGTTGGGACAGGCTATGAAGGATCTGGAAAACTAGACTGAAGAATTGGGTGTGTCTGGGTGCAAAGAATCAAGAGGAAGTAGGTGGATCTAGACCAGGAGAGTAGTCCAGAGATCTGGGGTGCTAAGAGCAGAAGCAGGCTGGTGCCCAGGGCTAGAAGGAGAACAGCATGTGGGGGCTGGGAGATTGAATCACATCCTTGGAGTCAAGGTGCAGTGGGCGGGGATCAAACTCACCAGGGAAGGAGGCTGGTCTCAGGAATCCCAGGCAGGTTGGGGGTGTGGACAGCCAGGGAAGAAGGCTGGTCTCAGGTGTGCAAAGGCAAGTTGAGGGTAGGGGCATGCTGTGAAGTCTCTAAGAAACTAGACTGAAGTACTGGGTTGGTCTGGGTGCAAAGGATCCGGATGCAGTGGATGGATCTGGGCCCAAAGGGTAGTTCAGAGGTCTGGGGTGCCAAGAGCAGAAGCCCTATGCCCAGGGTGAGGAGGAGAACAGGATTTATTGCTCCCTCTTTTTTTTGTTTATTTATTTTTAAATTTCATTTATTATTTAAATTTTATGTATATGAGTGTATTGCCTTCATGTGTGTAAGTGCACCTGTGTCGTGAAGTGCCTGCAGAGGTCAGAAGAGGGTGTCGGATCTCTTGGAACTGGAGTTGCAGATGATTGTTAGCCACCGAGTGGGTGCTGGGAACCGAACCTGGTTCCTCTGTAAAAGCAGCTGTGTTCTTAACTGCTGAGCCATCTCTCAGGCCCCTTCCTAGAGACAGTGTCTCTTATTGAACTTGGAGCTCCCCATTTTGGTTAGGCTGGCTTTCCACTACTACTTCCAATGTTAGGAGGCCAAATTGGCAAGTTTTAGGTTTAGTGCGAGACCCCGTCTCAAAAAATTAGATGGAGAGCAATACAGGAAGACACTCTAAATCCATCTCTGGCCTCCACATCTGCACACATGGGCAAGTATACCCACTTCACAAACACTCATACGAGAGAGAGAGAGAGAGAGAGAGAGAGAGAGAGAGAGAGAGAGAGAGAGAGAGAGAGAGGAAAAATGATGAGAATAACTTTTCTTAAGATAATAATTCCAGAACAACTATTTTTTTCTTATTTGGTGGTTGAAAATGATGCCAAGATTATATTACTATCCACTGAGTGCTGACTATGTGTCAGCTTCTGTTGTGCATGGTAGAGCTAAGATGTAAGCCAGGCAGCTGGACTGCAGAGTCTACTAATAGCCATTGCAGTATTTAACAGTTCCATGTTTGTTAGATTTGTTTTTTAAAAAATTTGTTCCTATCAAGTTCAATTCCTCTCACCCCCTGCCTCAGGGGGGAAAATTGTATTGTTGGTAGAGCTGGAGATTTTATTGTATACTCTGTCCTCAAATGCATTTAATAAAATACTACATTTTATCATGAATAATTGTAGAGATAATTTATGTGGATTGAGCAGCCTAACAGCAATCTGGGTAATGATTTGGCTCATATTTTGCCAGACAAGTCCATAATGTCATGCCCACAAATCAGCAGAGCACTTTAAAATTTTTTAAAATCTTGGTAACTTATCTGAATCTGTTTGTTTGATAATCCACTTGTCAGTGTTAATAGTTATTTTATTTCATATAATTTTGCAACTTTCTTATTTCTTACTGTTTGGGAAGAGAAATCCCATAACTGACTTCTTGGTGTGGGATGAAATATTTAATTCATTTCCTGCTTTCCTTTATATATTAAGCAATTTTCAGGAGAAATAATTTGGTGTTTTAAAATTTTTTTAAATTGCTTTTATGTGTCTGAGTGTTTTGCTACATGTAAGTAAGTGCACCACATGTGTGCAGTGCCCACAGAGACCACCTGGAACTGGAGTTAGGGACAGTTGTTAGCTGCTATATGGGTACTGAGATTCAAACCCAGGTCCTCTGCAAGAGCAGCCAGTGCTCTTAACTGCTGACCCATCTCTCCAGCCCCATAATTAGGTGTTTTAATCTAAAAAAAAAAAAAGAATGTTTTTCATATAGGTGATATCTAGAAGATGAATTCCAAGTTTCCTTAGGTCTTTGGAATAGATCTAGACCTCAGTGTAGGTTGACAAATTCTCCTAGAGGTTTAGTTTGGAAGTTACATACTGATTTTTAAACAGTTTAGGGCCTGGAGAGTAGCTCAGTGGTTAAAGAGTTCTGTTTGCTCTTGCAGAGGGCTGGGTTTGGTTTCCAGCACCCACATGGCAGCTAACAACTGTCTATGACTTCCAGTTCATGACTCCAGTACCAGGGGATTTGACACCCTCTTCTGACTTCTGTGGGCATTGCTTGACACCGGCAATACACTCATGGACATAAAATAAAAATTAAGTATTTTTTTAAAAATTAAAACTTTTTTTTTTAATTGCACTTGCAGGCAATACACTCATGGACATAAAATAAAAATTAAGTATTTTTTTAAAAATTAAAACTTTTTTTTTTAATTAGCAGTTTTATGATATATAGGTGGTGTGGACCAGAAAGTTCCAGGCTTTAGGAAATTCATGAAATGCTAATTTTTAATTAGACTATTTTTTAGCATGTATTTTTGTTGTTTTTTTGTGCATTTCATGTAATACATCTTATTCATATTTAGGCCCCCTCCCCTTTTTCACCCCCCCAGCCCTCCCACTGGAGTTCATGCATTCTGTCACAGATGTTAAGATCTATTGAGTCATATTTGTGTCCTCAGATGTCCTTCTGTGTGAGTTCATCCACTGGAGTCTGGTCAGTCTATCTGGTGTCACTCCCTTAAAGACCAGCTCTCTCTCACCCAGTAGTCATCAGCCACCAATGGTTCCTCAACTAAGATTGAGGCTTCTTGCCCATTTCCCCAGTTCTATTCTGGGTTTTATCTGGTTTGAGTTTGCATGGGTCTTATGCATGCTGTCACCATTGCTGTAAGTTCATATGAACAAGTTCCCAGCCACCCGGAAGTCTCTGTTTAAAACCCTTGTAGTCATCTACCACCCCTGGCTCTTATAGTCTTTTCCAGCCCTCATCCATAATTGTCCCTGAGCCCTAGGTGGATGAGGTTTAATATAGGTATCCTATCCAGGAATGTGTACTCTGGAGTCTCTTATTCTCTACATTTTGGCCAATTTTACTCTCTGTGTTAATCACTATCTGTTGCATGAGGAAGACAAGGTCTCCTTGTAGCCCCATCTGACCTGGAACTTACTATGTAGACCAGGCTATCCTTGATCTCATAGAGAGCCACATGCCTCTGCCTCTGGAGTGCTGGGATTAAAAAGGCCTGTGCTACAATGTTTGGCTTTACTTAGGCTATGTTTAATGCTATAAATATTTGATTAAAGCTTTTCTTAGTCTTTCTCTCTTTCTTTGTTTTTAAATAGATCAGCACAGTTGGTATTACTATGCTCAACATGAGTAATTTTCCTACTGAAGAAAGTGGACATGATGTTCCAGAGAACTCATTTTCTCAGAAACATAAAGAATTATCAGTTTTATTGGTGGAAATGAAAGAAGCTCAAGAGGAAATTGCATTTCTTAAGTCACAACTACAGGGCAAAAGGCCTGAGGGGGACTGTGAAGTCCTTGACCAGAAAGAAGTGAAAGAGACAGAGAGTGAAAAAACGCCTCCAGCTAGAGTGGAAGAGTTCCCCTTAATGCCAGCTGAAAAGGGGGATCAGGAAAGCGCTAAGCATCATGGAGCATCTGAGGAGATCTCTCTAAATGACACTGGAGTAGAATTGAACTCAGCAGAATTGGGCAGTGTGGACAAATCCCCTTCTGTACCTTGTATTGGTCAGTGTCACCAGGATGATTTAGAAAGACTGAAAAGTCCGATTTTGGAGCTTGAGACAAGCTTTCATAAGGCAGAAGAAGTTTATGAGAAACATTTAGATGAGAAAGGTAAGGAAATTATCAGCCTAACTCAGCTTATTGAGGAATTCAAGAGGAATGCTGAAGATAATCACAGCACACTCACTGCTTTGTCTGAAGAAAGGGACCAGCTTCTTTCTCAAGTGGAGGAACTGAATGTCTTAGCAGAGCTGAGGGCTCAGGTTAGAGAATTGGAAACCAACCTTGCAGAAGCAGAAAAGCAAAGAAGTTTGGACTATGAAAACCAAAAGACTCAGCACAACTTGCTCACAGAGCAGATCCACAGTCTCGGCATAGAAGCCAAATCTAAAGATGTGAAAATTGAAGCTTTACAGAGAGAACTGGATGATGTGCAACTGCAGCTTTCTGAACAGGTCACACTGGTCAAAAGCCTGCAGAGCCAGCTGCAGAGGAAGGAGAGTGAAGTGCTTAAGGGGGTAGAACGTGTGAGAGAAATCTCAGGGAAGATGGAAGAATTTTCTCAGGCTCTTTCACAGAAGGAACTTGAAATAGCAAAACTGGATCAACTCTTACTGGAGAAAAAGAAAGATGTACAGACACTCCAGCAAACCATCCAGGAGAAGGATCAGCAAGTGACTGAACTCAGCTTCAGTATGACAGAGAAAATGGTTCAGCTTAATGAAGAAAAGTTTTCTCTTGGTGTTGAAATTAAGACTCTTAAGGAACAGCTCAATATATTATCCAGAGCGGAAGAAGCCAAAAAAGAGCAGGTGGAAGAAGATCATGAGGTTAATTCTGGCCTTAAACATGATTATGATGAGTCAAGCCCAGTAGGGCTGGTGAGCAGAGAAGAACTTCAGCATGAGTTGGACCATCTGAAGAAAGAAAGTGAGCAGAGGAAGAGAAAGCTCCAGGCAGCTCTTATTAACAGAAAGGAGCTACTACAGAGAGTCAGTACACTGGAAGAGGAGTTAGCCAAAGTGAGAGATGGGTCTAGGAAAGAGATTCCACTTAGTGAGAAGAGAGAAATGGAGGGAGATAAAGAGAATAAAGACGACCCAGAAAAATGTGTGACCTCTAAGTGGCAAGAAATGGAAGATGGCCTAAAGCAGACAATATTTGAAAAAGAAGTGGAACTCGAGCGTGTAAGGAAAGAGTTGAAAGAAAAGATGGTAGCAGAAGAACAGTTACAGGCTGTGGTCCAACAGATGAATCAGAACTTGCAAGATAAGACAAAGCAAGTAGATTTGCTTCAAGCAGAAGTCATTGAAAACCAAGTGACTATTGAGAAATTAACCACAGGTACCAAGGATGCCAGTGATGGAGACTCGGCAGCACCTGTAAAAAAAGCAGTGGTGAACAGTCCACCTAGTGCAGGTAGTGGAGAACAAGGGACACCAGAACTGGAAGAAAAGATACTAAACCTTGAAAAAGAAAAGGAGCAACTTCAAAAGAAACTTCAGGAAGCCTTAACTTCCCGTAAGATGATTCTAAAAAAGACACAAGAGAAAGAAAGACAACTAAAGGAAGAACTCAAGAAACATAAAGATGAGTACAATCGCCTACAAGAACAGTTTGATGTGCAAAGTAAGGAAAATGAGAACATTGGAGACCAGCTAAGGCAACTCCAGATTCAAGCGAGGGAGTCCATAGATAGAAAGCTCCCAGACACTGACCATCTCACTCAAGGTTTAGAAGAAGTTTTATTTAAAGAGACAGAACAGCAGCCCACCCAACCTGGTTTAGAGTCTGACTTATACCCAACTTGGCCTCATCCTGGAGATACAGATACTCTGCAGGTTAATACTTCTATTGCCCAGATTAAGGCCCAGTTGAAAGAAATAGAGGCTGAAAAAGAAGAGTTGGAATTGAAAGTTAGTTCTACAATGGGTGAGCTTACTAAAAAATCAGAAGAAGTATTTCAGTTACAAGAGCAGATAAGTAAACAGGGTTTAGAAATCCAGAATCTGAAGGCAGTAACCCATGAGGCTGAAGCCCATGCAGAAAGCCTAAAGCAGGAATTGGAACACAGTCAACTAAAAATTGCTGGCTTGGAACATCTGAAAACAGTACAGCCTGAACTAGATGAACTGCAAAAACACATATGCCAAAAGGAAGAAGAAGTTAGCTGTCTTTCTAGACAGCTTAGTGAGAAAGAACAAACCCTTTCTAAAGTTCAGACTGAGATAATGGAACAAGAGAATTTAATCAAGGCTTTGCACACCCAGCTGGAAATGCAAGCCAAGGAGCATGAAGGCAGGGTAAAGCAGTTTCAGGTAGAACTTTGTGAACTGAAGCAGAAGCCAGAAGAGACTGCAGAAGAAACTAAAGCAAAGCAACAGATGCAGAGGAAACTGCAGGCTGCCCTCATATCCCGAAAAGAAGCCCTCAAAGAAAACAAGAATCTCCAAGAGGAGTTGTCTTTGGCTAAAGATACCATTGACCGCTTTACCAAGGCTCTGGCAGATGTGGAAAGCCAAATTTCTGCTCAAAATAAAGAAAAAGACGCATTCTTAGGAAGATTAGCTCTTCTTCAAGAAGAAAGAGATAAACTCATTGTAGAAATGGACAGGTCTTTACTAGAAAATCAGAATCTCAGTGGCTCTTGTGAAAGTCTTAAGCTTGCTCTAGAGGGTCTTACTGAAGACAAGGAAAAGTTGATGAAGGAAATAGAGTCCTTGAAATGTTCTAAGATTGCAGAAAGTGCCGAATGGCAAGAAAAACACAAGGAATTGCAGAAAGAGTATGAGGTTCTTTTGCAGTCCTATGAGAATGTGAGCAATGAAGCAGAAAGGATTCAGCATGTGGTGGAAAATGTGAGGCAGGAGAAGCAAGAACTATTTGGAAAGTTAAAAAGCGTGGAGACAGACAAGAAAGAGACAGAAAAGCAGTTGCAGGAAGCAGAACAGGAGATGGAAGAAATGAAAGAAAAGATGAGAAAGTTCGCTAAATCTAAACAGCAGAAGATCCTGGAGCTGGAAGAAGAGAATGACCGGCTTCGAGCAGAGGCTCAGCCTGCGGGAGGTGCAGCCAAAGAACACACGGAAGCCCTTCTTTCCTCTAATGCCAGCATGAAGGAGGAACTAGAAAGGGTCAAGTTGGAGTATGAAGCCCTTTCTAAGGAGTGTGAGGCTTTAATGGCTGAGAAAGAAATTCTAAGTGAAGAGATTGGAAATTTAAAGGCTCAGGTAGAACAAGCTAGTATAGTGGCCACAGGCAAATCTAACATTCAGAAGGATATTATTGAAGAGGTGACACAGTCTGTGGCAGGTGAGTCTCAAGAGCAAAACTCTGTGAGTGTGAGCCCTAAGCTTGATGATTCTGAAGTTATTCCATCAGAAAACAATGCCACTCCTAGTAAGAATTTCAGCTCACATGATGACATTAATAACTACCTACAGCAGCTTGATCAGCTTAAGGGAAGAATTGCTGAATTAGAGGAGGAGAAGCAGAAAGACAAAGAATTTAGCCAGACTTTAGAGAATGAGAAAAATGCCCTACTGAGTCAGATATCTGCAAAGGATAGTGAAATAAAAGTACTTCAGGAAGAAGCTGCCAAAATAAAGCTGTCAAATAAGCAAATCCAAGAAGAACTCTCCAGAGTTACTAAACTAAAAGAGACAGCAGAAGAGGAGAAGGATGATTTAGAAGAGAGGCTTATGAATCAACTAGCAGAACTTAATGGAAGCATTGGAAATTATTATCAGGATGTTACTGATGCCCAAATAAAAAATGAGCAACTGGAATCTGAAATGCAAAACCTTAAAAAGTGTGTGAGTGAATTGGAAGAAGAAAAGCAGAAGTTAGTCAAGGAAAAAACCAAGGTGGAATCAGAAATACGAAAGGAGTATTTGGAGAAAATACAAGGTGCTCAGAAAGGACCTGGCAATAAAAGCCATGTGAAGGAACTCCAGGAGCTGTTGAAAGAAAAACAACAAGAGGTAAAGCAGCTGCAGAAGGACTGCATCAGGTATCAAGAGAAGATTAGTGCTCTGGAGAGAACCGTTAAGGCTCTAGAATTTGTTCAGACAGAATCCCAAAAGGACTTAGATGTAACAAAAGAAAATTTGGCTCAAGCCGTTGAACACCGTAAAAAAGCACAAGCAGAATTATCTAGCTTCAAAGTACTGCTAGATGACACACAAAGTGAAGCAGCGAGGGTATTAGCAGACAATCTCAAGTTGAAAAAGGAACTTCAGTCAAATAAAGAATCAGTCAAAAGTCAAATGAAACAAAAGGATAATGATCTTGACCGAAGACTGGAACAAGCAGAAGAGAAACACCTGGAAGAGAAGAAGACTATGCAGGAGAAACTGGATGCTTTGCACAGAGAAAAGGCCCATGTGGAAGACATGCTTGGGGAGATTCAGCTTGCTCTGAAAAAGAAAGACAAGGAAATGGAGCAACTTCAGGAGAGCTTGGACAGCACTGTGGCCCAGCTTGCAGCCTTCACTAAGACCATGTCTTCCCTCCAGGATGATCGGGACAGGGTGATAGATGAAGCCAAGAAATGGGAGAGGAAGTTTGGTGATGCCATTCAAACCAAAGAAGAAGAGATCAGACTCAAGGAGGAGAATTGCATTGTTCTGAAGGATCAACTTAGACAAATGTCTATCCATATGGAGGAATTGAAGATCAACATTTCTAGGTAAACAGTAACCTCTTTTTTTTCCTCTCCAGAGGTAATGTGACTACAAAGGAAGTCTTTAAACTGTCTTTTTCCCCTTAGAATTATAGGACTAATTTTGGTTTACATTCTCATAGAACATATATCATCTTTCTCTTCTGAGTTTTTATTTTGTAATGTTTGTAACCTCTGAGTAACTTATATTAATATAAAAGCTTTGGCATCTTTCTTGTATCTGTATTCAGAGACCTCTTAGGTTTCTCTTTTCATTTTCATTTTGGGATTTCTTGATTAATAGACTACCTTTGTTTAGATTTCTTCCATCTTAGTCACACAATATGCCTTAGTATCCTAAATGGTCTTTTTTCTCATCCCCATAGTCCATATCAACTGTATTAATTGTCCCGACCCGCGAGACAGTCAACGTGGGTACCTGGAATGAGGAGTGGGGATGAAAGGGGCAAGAGACGCGAAGAATGGAGACAAGACAGGCTTTCTGATCAAGTCTCATTTATTGATGGAGAAAATACAGTTTTTATAGAGAGAGAAAGGGGAAAGTTGGCAGGAACAATTCTATTGAGGCAGGAGCAATTCTATTGACAGGGCAATTTTCATAGTTACACCACACCGCATGATCACAGAGTAATTTCCATAGTAAGACCACAATTCTATAGTAAGCCATAATTCTATTATAAGGTCACACCTGCATGATTACAATGTAATACAAAGAAGTTTTCTAGGCAGCCCCGTGAGAAATGAGGGAGTCTCTCAAGCAGTAAGTGCTCGGGTTAGAATAACATGTTTTTGCGAGGCTTTCAAGTACGGCCAACTGGTTAATCTAAAACCAGGTCAGACTTGATGTCCGGAAAACAGCTTTGCCAGGAATCAGGTCTTGCTATTGTGGGGCTCAGGGGCTCCCTACAATTAATATGCCTGTTAGAAATACCATCCTCAGATTCTATAGTAGCACTTTTCAAACTCAAGAGCCATAGTGTCTGTCCTTCACTCTTTTTACTCTTATATTTCTAGTATGATTCTTCCCTCCTGTTCTCCTACTGTCTGTCTTGACATGATTATTGCTTCAGAAAAACCCTAGATTAGCTTGTCAGAGCAAAGCAGAACAAAATGGGGATCATTCACTTTTAGTGTCCAAAGCTGTATCACTAGAAGAAGGAACATAGTTTAGAATTTATGATTTAAATCTGTGATGTATCTTTAATACATGATTTGTCTGTGTGATAGATTGTGTTAATATGAGTATATAGATACAAAGAAGTCAGATTTCTTCGTTAGGATCTTCAATTATGAATATTGACTAACTTGTAGATCTGTTCAGGACATGTTATATAGTTACTGTCTATCCCTTTCCCCCAGGCTTGAGCATGACAAACAGATTTGTGAGTCCAAGGCCCAGACAGAGCTCCAGCATCAACAGAAGGTTTGTGATACTCTGCAGGGGGAAAACAAAGAACTTTTGTCCCAGCTAGAAGAAACTCAACAACTATACCACAATTCTCAGAATGAATTAGCTAAGTTGGAATCAGAACTTAAGATTCTCAAAGAGCAGTCAACTGATTTAAATAATTCTTTAGATCAGTGTAAAGAATATAAAGAAAATTTGGAAGGAATCATAAAGCAGCAAGAAGCTGATCTCCAGAACTGTAAGTTTAGTTATGAGCAACTAGAGACTGATCTAAAGGCCTCCAGAGAACTGACTGGTAAGCTGCATGAAGAAATAAATATGAAAGAGCAGAAGATTATAAGCTTGCTTTCTGGCAAGGAGGAGGCAATCCAAGTAGCTGTTGCTGAACTCCATCAGCAACATAATAAAAAAATTAAAGAACTAGAAAACCTATTGTTGCTGGAGGAAGAGGAGAATATTGTCTTAGAAGAGGAAAACAAAAATGCTGTTAACAAAACCGATCAGCTAATGGGAACACTGGAAGCTGTCAAAAAGGAAAACAGTCAACAGAAGGCACAGTTGGATTCCTTTGTTAAATCCATGTCTTCTCTCCAGAATGACCGAGACCGCATAGTGAGTGACTATCAACAGCTGGAAGAGCGACATCTCTCTATAATCTTGAAAAAAGACCAACTCATTCAAGACGCTGCTGCTGAGAATAATAAGCTGAAGGAAGAAATCCGAGGGTTGAGAGGTCATATGGATGATCTCAATTCTGAGAATGCTAAGCTAGATGCTGAACTGATCCAGTATAGGGAAGACCTGAATCAAGTGATATCCATAAAGGACTGTCAGCAAAAGGAACTCCTTGAAGCTCAACTACAGCAAAATAAGGAGCTGAAAAATGAATGTGCAAAATTAGAAGAAAAGCTAAAGGGGTCAGAAGAAGCAAAGCAAAGTCTACAGAGGGCTTCTGATGCCCTCCAAGAGGAGAAGCAAAGTTTGACTAAAGAGATTGAGAACTTGAAAGCTTCTGTATCCCACCTGAATAGACAAGTGTCAGCCTTGCAGGAAGAAGATGCTTTAGGTGTTTATCACACTCAACTAAAAGGCAAAGAAGAAGAACTTCACAGGTTAAGTTCAGCACTTTCCTCTTCCCAGCAGAGAATTATGGAACTGGAAGAGGAATTAGTTTGTGTTCAAAAGGAAGCTACCAGGAAAGTAGGTGAAATTGAAGATAAACTGGAGAAAGAATTAAAGCATCTTCATCACGATGCAGGGATAATGCGAAATGAAACTGAAACAGCAGAAGAGAGGGTGGCAGAACTAGCGAGAGATCTGGTAGAGATGGAGCAGAAGTTACTCATGGTCACCGAAGAAAATAAAGATCTTACAGCACAAATTCAGTCTTTTGGAAGGTCAATGAGTTCCTTGCAAGACAGTAGAGATCATGCCAATGAGGAGCTTGGGGACCTGAGAAGGAAGTATGAAGCCAGTCTGAAGGAGCTGAGAGAACAGAGGGGCCTCTTAAGCAGAGAGAGCGATGTTCTTTCTCAGACTACCTTTCTCTTGAACACCACTGAGGACAATTTGTCCTCCCTTGAGAAACGTAACCAACAGCTTGCATCCAAAGATGAGCAGTTGCTTCACTTGTCCTCACAACTAGAAGATTCTTACAACCAAGTGCAGTCCTTTTCCAGGGCAATGGCCAGTCTGCAGAATGAGAGAGATCACTTGCGGAGTGAGCTGGAGAAATTCCGAAAGTCTGAGGAAGGGAGGCAGAGGGCTGCAGCCCCACCTGCCTCCAGCCCAGCAGAAGTACAGAGTTTGAAAAAAGCCATGTCCTCCCTCCAAAATGACAGAGATCGACTAGTGAGTGTGTTTCAGATCTATGTTTGAGAATTTTTGAACCTTTCTTTAAATTGATTTTTATGTCTATAGAAAAAACACGAACATTTCTGTTCATATTATCCATGTATAAAATCTAGGAGCATTGTTAATATATTCCAGCGGTTGTTTTTGGTCTTCAGAAAAAGAGACATGCCATTACCATTTTTAAAAATACAAACTTTACTTTCTACCTAACTTTCCACTGGTTATAAAAAGGTTAAAAGATAAAAATATGTTTTACCAATTTAAGCACTCATGTGATTCCAGAACTTAAAGTGGTTTGCTTGAAAGAAAGCATAAGTCCAGCTGGGCATGGTAGCACATGTCTATAATTCTTGAACCCAGGAGGCTGGTACAAGTTTAGGACCAGTCTAGACTATGTAACTAGTTTCAGGACAGTTTGGATTATATAGAGACTGTCTCAAAAAAAAATTAATGACTATTTAGTAATTATTTGCAAGTGAACTATTACCCGCTTCCTCCTTAGTTCCTTTCTTTTCTTTTTTTTCCCCCACTACTGGGATTGATCCCAAGGCCTTATACATTCTAGACAGGTATTTTACCACTAAGCTATATCCCTAGCTCTTTTGATTTTTTTGAGACAGACTTGGTAAGCTACTCAGGCTGGTGGTGTGACTCAGGATCTTCCTGCCTCAGCTACCCAAGTAGCAAGGATTGCAGGTGTATACCACCGTGGCTGTTTCTACCCACATTCTTTTTGAATATTTAACTTTTTTCAGAGATAAAGGGGATTGGAGAAATGGCTTAATCAGTAAAGTGCTTACCTTATTTCTGCTTTTGAGCTGTAGAACCCACATAAAAAAAGCCATGTGTATTGGTGTGGACTTGTAATCCCAGTGCTGAGGAGGAAGAAATAGGTCTTTGGGGCTCTCTGGCTAGCCAGGCTATCCTACTCAGGCAAACTCCAGGTCAGTGAGAGACTGTATCAGAAGAAAAATGTGGGGCTGGAGAGATAGCTCAGTCAGTTAAGTGCTTGCTGCCCAAGCACAAGAATCTGAGTTTGGATCTCCGCACCCATGTAAAAGCCAGGCTCAGTGGCACACATCTATAATCCCAGTGCTGGGGAGGTGAACATAGCTGGATCCTTGGAGCTCATTGGCAACCAACCTAGACAAATTGGTCAGCTCCAGGTTCAGTGAGAGGTGGTATCTCAAAATATAAGGTGAAGAGCAATTGAAGAAAATATGTGGTATCAACCTGTGGTTTCCAAATGTCCACATGAACACATATGCATACCACACATATAACATGAACATAGATACATACCATACATATAACACACAGGTGCATGCACATGACACATACACACACACATTTTTTTTAAAAATGAAAAGAAAGTTTCCAAATGTCCACATGAACACATATACATACCACACATATCCACATGAACACATCTGTATACCACACATATAATGCACAGGTGCATACACATGACACACACACACACAATTTTTTTTAAAAAATGAAAAAAATGTATGGCACTAGAGGAACCATACCCAGAGTTATCCTCTGGTGACCATGCACACATGTGCATGTACACATACCTGCACCCACATGAACATGCACAAGCACATCACATACATTTATGTTTGAAAGCTATAATTTATGCCACGTTGGTATTCATTATCTTCTAAGTCAGAATCTTTTTCCTGGGGTGTTACAATAGATTCTGAATTAACTATGTTTCATTCATCAAATTGCTATAAGCCTTATGTCTTATAAATGCTAGACACTGTATTTTATCTTCCAACCCCAGATGCAGACTTCTTGTCTGCTGGATATTGATAAGCCAAGCCTTTTAAAAAAGTCATTTCCCTCTTTGTGTAACTTGTAGTGATACTCTATTTCTTAAGACTTGCAGCCATCACTCTTAAGATGCTATTTGTCATTAAAACATAAAGTCAGGCTATAGAATTGACTCAGCAGTGAATAGTACTGGCTGCTCTTTCAGAGGACCCAGGTTCACTTCCCAGCACCCATATGATGGCTAACAACAGTAACTCCAGTTCTGGGGGTGGGGAGGGATCCAGTGCCCTCTTATGACCTCTTCAGACATTGCACAACACAAGTGCACTTACAAGTGCAGGCATTACACTCATACACATAAAATTAAAAAAAATTAAATCTTTATTTCTTTTTTTTTTTTTTTTTTTGGTCTTTTTGAGGGAGGGTCTCTCTGTAGCCCCTGTAGCCCCAGTTGACCTGGAATTCGCTATGTAGACCAGGTTGGCCTCAAAACTCACAGAGATCCACCTGACTCTCTCTCCTGAGTGCTAGGACTAAAAGTGTGTGCCACCACACCCGGCTTCAAGGTCTTTTTTAAAAAAATAAATACCGAGCTTTTGTAGTTTCATACAACAGTTCTTAATTGAATTTAGGCCCCCTCCCCCATCCATGACCCCCACCCCCCTTATATGTTAAGTCCCATCTAGTCAAGCATTTGTACCAGATGTCCTTCGGTGTATATTCGTCCACCCAAGTCTAGTCAGCCTACCTAAAGATCATATGTAAGGCATACTCTTCCCTCATCCAGCATCAGTCAGTCTCCAGTAGTACTCAGTCTCCTTCAAGGTCTTTTATTCCTTTGTCTGAATGTGCCTCAAATAGCTTTCCTTGCCATCTTCAACAACCCATGAAAAGCTCTTTACTCTTAAACAGTTGTAACAATACTGCTTCTAATCTGTCACTCTCCAGTAGGTGATAAACATACTACTAGGTAAATACCATTATTGGATAAATTATTCTGAAATTCTACTTTCTTATTACTGCTTTGCTCAAAAACCTTTTAAAAGGCATGTGAGACAGGCTGGAATAGGCTTAGTGTTAGGGTTCAGATAGCCCCGCCCCCTCACCAAGAGGGCCTCATGGTTCAGCAAGGCCCTGAGCAAAGCACCTTGGTCTTTGAAGTCAAAAGCAGACTTCTCTCCACTGTTTGGCCAACACAGCAGGCTTCCCCTTTGATCTCTAAAGGGGGCAGGTTTTAACAGTCCTGCTTCCCCCCTCCAACCTTTAAAAAGAATATATCTTCCTGCCTTCTACACCCCCAGAAGCGCCCCCCATAAAAGACCCTAGCTCATGACCCAGGGGCAGACATTTTCCCTACCCAGAAGTAAATCTGTCCCAGGTGTTCCTTTGCTAATAAACTCTATTCTGCTGGACTTTCATCTGTGTCCTGGTGCTTTCTCCCATCAACCTGATTCATTCATCGCCTGTTTCATCTATCACTTAGGATTCATCCCTTGCTCCTCCCCTTAAGACCTTATGATTTGTCCTCATCTTTCTTTTCAGTCTTTCCTTTTACTTGTTTCAAACCATTCATTCCAGCCAACCTGGCCTACTCAGTATGCAGTGACCATAGCTGATACATCTTAGCATTATTATCATCCTTACATCCAACATCTCTTCCTAATTTCTTTTGGGAGGTGATATGTCCAACTATTTAAGGATCATTCCAGTGCTCAGATTCTCTTGCTGCATTTCCCATTGGCTCAATTCAGTATTGCCTCTACACTCCTTAGTGCTTGTCTTACCATTTGTCTTGGATTGCCTTGATTCCTGTGTGTGCACAATTTCTGTATTTTCATATTCCCCACTTGGGTTGTAAACTTGTGGTATCATATCCTAGATCTGTTTGTATATCCCACAATATTTAACATAGGGCCAGGTAGATAGAGAATAATCAGCAGTTGAAAATTATTCTCTATTATTTGTGATTCTTTTTCTTTTCTTTTTTTTTTTTTTTTTTTTTTTAAAGCCTTTTTGAGACAGGATCTCCCTGTAGCCCCAGATGGCCTGGAACTCACTATGGAGACCAGGCTGGCCTTGGTCTCACAGAGATCCACCTGTGTCTGCCTCTGGAGTGCTGAGATTAGCCACCATGCTGACTGTATTTGTGATTCTTATGGAAAACACCATTATTTTCTCCATTGTGAAAACTCTCCATAGGGAAGTTAAGGGAAATTTTAGAAACTTAGGCCTTTGTATCTTCCACAAAAGGATTGTAAAGCCCCAGTGTTAGGATTTTAAATGACAAAGGCCTGATTGTTGCACTAGTCTGCTGAGGCCCTTCTGCATATTTTCTGCACATCAACTTTTCTCTTCCAAATGTCTTTTTCTCAGTCTGAAAGTGACTCATTGTTCACATGTGAGATAAATAAATGTTGTTTGCTTGTTTTTGTTTTGGAGATTGAACATAGGGCCTCATGTGTGTTAAACATGTATACTGCTGAGTGATATTCCCAGCTCAAGATACCTTATTTCAGCCACTGTTGGTTTAAACACTTAGCTAAGGTCAGCAGTTTAACTCCTGAGCCTTCAGGACACTTCTCTTTCCTTGGGACCAGCATAAGATGATTTAGGTGTGAAAGGAGGTTTGGTTACTTTGGTTCCTTTATTTCATTAGTCAATGAGATGTTTCACAAATATAGTCTGTTAAGGTTCATATAGCCCCGCCCCCTCACCAGCAGGGCCTCACAGACCTCGCAAGACCCTGAGAAAAAGGAACTGAGTTGATAAGCACCCTGGTCTTTGAAGTCAAGTGAAGCAGACTTTTCTCCACTGTTTGGCCAACACTACAGGCTTCCCCTTTGATCCCTAAAGAGGGCAGATTTTAACAGTCATGCTCTCCCGCTTCCCCCTGCCCAACTAAAAAATATCTTCCTGCTTTCTGTGGGAAGCAGAAGCCTTCCCCTTTAAAAGACCCCAGCTCATGGCCTGGGGCAGACATTTTCCCTGCCCAGAAGGGAATCTGTCCCATGTGTTCCTTTGCTAATAAACTCTATTCCAATGGAGTTTTATCTGTGTCCTGGTGCATTCTCCTGATCAACTGGATTCATCCATAGGCTACTTTATCTGTCATAGTCTAAGGATTCAAGTGATGGGGAGTTAGTCCAACAAATTCAAGATTTTTCACATTTACCAAAAGTTCTTAAGACTTTCTCATAATCAGATGAAACACTTGGGTAGTCTTCTACTTGAAGGGTGAGGGAAAATTTTTAGGGTTACCTCTGCCTACCTCTTACCTCATTCTGAAAGTGTTGTGACAGGTGTAGAAAGGTATAAACAATTTTTCAAGATAAAATATGATAAAAGGGGATTGAGAAAGAAGAGAAAATGATAGAGTAGAAAGGATGAAACAATGTAAGGTCAGTGCCCCAAGGAGAAGGCACAGTGCCCTGTAGTAGAAAGTAGGGTCACTAATTTACTCTGAACTTTGTAGAAGTACTCAAAGAAGGAGGATCAAAGCTATGTGCATGAATTACAAATCTGTATTTTAGTAGAAAGGAAGACAGAAAAATGACCTGGTCAAGACAGTTATTCCTCAATTATTAAGGCCAATATGAAATTTCTTCTGTGTTCCTGTACAGAGAACTGCATGCTGTCATAAATCATCCCTTATTTCTCTACAATAAGTATAATAATGTCTTAAAGAGTTTTATGTAGTTGTCCCTTGATGTAAAAACATAGCAAAAGGACTATGTTCAGTTTACTAGAAGTACCTCTACAAGTGCTACAATTCAGTCCCCAACACATGACTTTCTAATAGTATGGATCTAGTCTAAGGATAACATTTAGAGTATCTGGACTTAGCAGAATGAATGGATTATGTAAGCAACATATTCTTGAAGTAAACTAAAATAAAAATGTTTTTAGTTTTTAGCTAAAAAATAAAATCATGCACATATTTACAGTATTTCGTGGAAGCTGAGTGGTATCCCCAACTCCACCCCCCCCACAAGCAGTTTTTTCTCAGTTCTTTTCTGTGTCTAAGTTGCCATGCTGCATTTCCCTTTTGTTTGTTGCTTTAATGATTGGCTTTTTCTATGCTGTTTTAGCTGTATTTATTTTCTCTGCTTTCGCAGCATAGATGCACAACTCTTCCCTATTCTAATTTTTTAAAAATATTATTTTTGGTATATGAGTGTGTTGCCTGCATGTATGTAAGTATGCCCCTGGAGATCAGAAGAGAGCATCGGATACCCTGGAAATAAATGGTTGTTAGCTGCCATGTGGGTGCTGGGAATCTAATCTGGGTTCTCTGCCAGAGCAGCTAGTGCTCTTAACTACTGAGGTATCTCTCCAGCCCCTCTGCTATTATAATTTAAAGATTGGTTAAATCAATTCAGTGTTTGCTGTAGGACTGCAAATGCTAATAAAACCAAGATGTGTTGTACTTTCCTCAACATTTATCTTTCAAGCCAGCTGTGTTTTCATTATTATTACTTAGTTATGTACTTATCAGTGTCATTTAACCCAAAACTTATTTTGATTTGTTGACATTGCTTCAAGGTGTTTATCCTCATCAGATTTATCTTCATAAAGAAACTCTGACTTGAGTTTCTAGAGTCTAGAGTCTCTGACTTGCCTCCCTGTGAGCCAGTTGCCCTGTAGTTCCCATATAGTCTTCATCCTGTGTTTCCTTTCTCCTCTCCTGGTTTCTTATGGTCCATGTCTTCTTCGTCCTCTTAGTTTTATGCCATTGCTTTTATGAAGTCAGTTAGTAGCTCCCTAACAAAATATACATGGGAGATAAATTTATTACAAATGTTTTTTCTTTTCCCCTATCCAGTTGACAGTAGCACCTGTGTGGCAGTCAGAGGACCACTCTAGGGAGCTGGTTCTCTCCGCCACCTTGTAGGATCCAGGAATTGAACTCAGGTCCTCAGTCCTGTGCAAAAGTGCCTCTACCCACTGAGCCATTTCCTAGTCCTCATCTTTATCTTTTGACTCCCAAATCAACGTTTGCATTTTTGCCATCTGTTCGAAAGAATTCCTTTTTTAACGTATTTTGTTTCTCATTTCATGGATAGATCTAACTTATTTCTCCAAGGATAGTGATGGTGCTTCATTTTGTTTTGCTTTTGAGACATGTTATATAACTGAGGTTGTTATATAACTGAGGTTGACCTGGAACTCACTGTATAGTCCAGGCTAACCTTAAACTCACCTTCTTTCTACCTCAGCCCTCCAAGTGCTAGGATTACAAATTTGAACCTCCACAGCCAGCTCTTACATTTTTTTTATAATCAGTTTATCTTTATAATTTTGATTGCTGCTGTAATATTTCTGATTCCCAGCATTCTGTCTGAAATCATTCAACACATTACGTTTTTCCCTGCTAATGTGATCTGAATTACCTTCTTCTGGTTGGTTTCCATCCCTTAATGTTAGCCATTCTTCAGATGAAGGTTAGTGCTCATTCCATCTTCACATGAAGGGTAGGATCTAAAAAGCTTTGGACGGGACTTAGTAACTGTTTCACTGCAGTGTGGTTTTGTTGAGCTTCTTGGTGGTAGTCCCCAAGTTTGTCTTTTTAGTTCTTTAAGATCTGATCATACATTTGAGAGAAGACTTCTCATTTGCTGTATAGAAGGGAGCAAGCACTCTAGGCCAGGAGCACTCATAAAACATACTCTTGGTTTGGGTAGTACTCCTCGAAACTGGGCCTATATGTCATAATCCTTCTTCAGAGAATGAGACTACTTGTCAGTGAGGGCAACCAAAAGCGTGGAAGCAAGTAGGGGATCTAGAAACAAAATTGCTTCTTGAAGTAGTGCTCCTCTAATCCTGCTGATCTCAGATACCACCTGCCTCCCATCCCCGTCACCTTTTTTTTCTCAGAAGTTCCTGCTGCTATTAATTCCTGAGCCCTTTGAAGATTCTGCAGAGTAAGTTCTACTGGTTCTTGATTTTCCCCACCTCCACTTCTGATTTGGCTCTCTCAGATTGTTAAATCTATCACTGGTTATTCATTTGCTCTTCAGCTTCAAAAATTTGTTGCTGCTAATCTGTCTGTTGTCTTCCAGTTCTTGTGTTTGGTGCTTTTTAAAAATCACCAGTGTGGCAGTATTATTGTTTCTCAGTGGGTGAAAGATATACATGTTTAAGGCTTTTGCCTTGCCCACATGTCCTGATGTTCTTACTGTCAAGCTTTTAGTGACTATTGAGAAAGAATTTGAAAATATGCTGTGAATGCAGCTTTGCTAAAGGCAAATCTATCATCATTTTCATTGTGTGTGAAGTGCATTAATTTTCCCATTTACTTCTCATATTCTTATGAGGAAAAGTATTGTAGCTATCTTCATTTAATAGATGAGAACAGTTGGTCATACATTCAAGAAAAAATAGGGGACAGAGATTAGAGGCACATGTGCAAACATATAAGTGTTAATAGCATTAAAAATGAATTTCTGGGGCCAGGCGTGGTGGTGCCCGCCTTTAATCCCAGCACTTGGGAGGCAGAGGCAGGCAGATCTCTGTGAGTTCAAGGCCAGCCTGGTCTACATAGTGAGTTCCAGGACAGCTGGGGCTACAGGGAGACCCTGTCTCAAAAATACCAAAAAAAAAAAAAAAAAAAAAAAAGAGTTTCTTATAGGAAACAGCATATTTTAAAATGAAATGGAGATCTTTTTTAAAGGTTAAAAACTCATTCATTTCTATGTCTTACAGGGTTTATACTGAGTTCAAACTTGTATAACTGTATTACGTCAACTGTGAACCTAAAAATTTACAGCCACTTTTGAGTATTTTATTATTTTTATTTTATGTGTATGAGTGTATTGCCTACGTAGGTGAGTACACCCATGTCGTGCAGTGCCCATGGAGGACAGAAGAGGCCATTGGATCCACTGGGACTGGAGTTACGGACAGTTGTTAGCTGCCATGTGGGTGCTGGTATTCAAACCTGGGTCTTCTGCAAGAACAACCAGTGTTCTTAATTGCTGAGCCATCTCTCCAGCCCCTACAGCCACTTTTGAAAGAGATGTATCCTTGATCTGGAAATTGTTATTGAATATGTTAAAGCTGTAATGCTTCTTCTAATCATGTGGTTATTAAATTAAAGGAAAGAAAAAGAAATAATAGGATACCTAACTCAAGAGCCAATATGTTCTTAACCATCAGGGAGCACTGCCTTCTTTGTAATCAACACCAGCTAAGCTGAGATTGATATCCAGAGGGGAAATAGCTCAGTGGCAGAGTACTTATCTAGCATACTTGAGTTCAGTCCAGAGCATTGGAAAAAACCAAACCAAACAGGTAAACAACTGCAGCAAAGAAAGCATGTAAGCTGTGTTCATGTAAGAAAGTTTAGAAGCCTAATCAGGGGCTATGAGTAAATAGAAAGCCATTCTATCTTTACATTTTCCATTCACAGTGAACCTGTAGGTTCTTAAATCTGTCTCAGTTCAAATTGTGGTTCTAGAATCAGCTTTCACCTTGGAGGCAGGGATATGGGGTAGAAGTTGAAGGAATAACTAGGTCCTGCAGTCTTGATGGCAGTTCCTTGGTTGTGGGTAGATCCTGATTGTCTGTTGTGGAGTTGACTTATATAGTATGGTGCTGTGATCAGTAAGCAATGAGATGTGATGAATCACCTTTTACTTTCCCTTTGTTCAAAGCTGAAGGAACTGAAGAATCTGCAGCAGCAGTACTTACAGCTCAATCAAGAGATCACCGAATTACGTCCGCTGAAGGCTCAGCTTCAGGAGTATCAAGATAAGACAGAATCATTTCAGATTATGCAAGAAGAGCTCAGGCAGGAAAACCTCACCTGGCAGCATGAGCTGCATCAGCTCAGGTAGGTTTATCCCTTTATTGTCTTCTTATCATATCATTGTTGTCTTTTTTTTTTCTTATTTTAAAAAATATTTTATTTATTATTTTTATTTTATGTGTATGAGTGTATTGCCTGCATGTATGTGAGTGCACCTGTGTTGTGCAGTGCCACAGAGCTCAGAAGACGGCTTCAGATTCTCCTGGAGCTGGAGTTAAGGACGGTTTGTAGCCGCCATGTAGGTGCTGGGAATTGAACCTGGGTCCTCTACAAGAGTAGTCAGTGCTCTTAACCCCTGAGCCATCTCTCCAGCCCCCATTGTCTTCTTTTTAATATGAGAAATAATTTATTCTACAACTAAATACGAATGACCACAGCCCAGGAACACATTCAGGTTTCCTCAAATTCCATATTCCAGCATGGAAGTAGTTTCATGAAGTTCGGTTTTTGTCTTGTCTTGTTTTGTTTTGTTTGAGACAGGGTTTCCCTGTAACGCCAGCTGACCTAGAACCAGGCTGGCCTCAATCTCATAGAAGTCCAGTCTACCTGGCTCTGCCTCCTCATTGTCTTTTAATGTTTTCTTTTGAAATAATTACAGATTTGTAGAAAATTGCAGAACTAGTTACAAGGAACTACTACATATCCTTTACCTAGTTTCCTCCAGTGGAAGCTCCCTGTATTACCCTATTACAGTGCCAAAACCAGGCTATTTTTACACATGGTGAAGGAGTAGCTGGGGTCAAGTAGAAGCCTCACTCTGCCAAATTCAGGAAAATAACTAAAAATAACATCTAAGATTATATATTAGTTAGTGTTTAATAAGTACCAGGTTTTGCGTTTGATGAATGACGTGTGATATCTCATTTAATCCTCACAATAATCCTAAGTAATAACTAGTTTATTCCTATTTTATTGAAGAAGCTTGGGGAGATTAACATTTGCTCCGGGTCTCACATTTAATGTACGAAAGAGCCAGCATTTGAACTCACGTCCTTCAGGGTCTATAGCTGCATTCTGAAAACTGAGGTGTTAATTCTGCATTGTTGGCACTGTGCTAAAAGACTATGGTGACTTCCCATGCCTGACTTGTCTCACCTTGTCCTCGCCACCCTCCTTTCATACATATCTTCTCTACACTTTGTCTCCTACAATTTGGAAATTCTGCTCAGTATTCATCCTGAAGTTGGAGTGCTTTTTCCTTTATGAAAACCCAACTTTGTTCAGGTTCCAGACCCTAGGTTAGCTTTTCTTTGAAGACATTCCAATCCTGCCAGTAGGAAGTCCTCTTTGTAGTCCTCTCATAGTCTTGCTGTCATCATCTTACTGCATGGTTCTGCCTGTAGTGTAAATTTCACTCTGATTTTGTATTTGCTTGTCTGCATTGCTAATATCTCGTAATAATAATATGCTAAGTATGGGATTATTCTCCTTTGTTCCAGGAGTATGCTTGACCTGTTCTTTCTTCATGTTCTAGGGTAGAGAAGAATTCCTGGGAAATGCATGAAAGGAGGATGAAGGAGCAGTACCTTATGGCTCTCTCAGATAAAGATCAGCAGCTCAGTCATCTGCAGAGTCTTATGAGGGAACTGAGGTCTTCTTCCTCCCAGACTCAGATTCTCTCAGTGCAGTACCAAAGACAGGTAAGGAACACCAGTGCCATCTGCTTCTTGAGTGACCACTACCCAGAAAGCATCAGCCTTCTACAAGTTAAATGCCCTTCTGCTACTGTTATGACTTCAGGGGTGAACAAGATTTCTTCTAGAGGGAAGGGATTAAGGATGAGCAATCTTAGGAGACAATTTCAGTCATGTTTGTATCTTGGCAGGCATCCCCAGAGACATCAGCTTCCCTAGATGGGTCACAAAACCTAGTTTATGAGACAGAACTTCTCAGGACTCAGCTCAATGACAGCTTAAAAGAAATTCACCAAAAGGAGTTAAGAATTCAGCAGCTGAACAGCAAGGTATGTGTTTCCTGCCAGACTGTAATTCTGGTTTTTTTCTTTCTTTCTTTCTTTCTTTCTTTCTTTCTTTCTTTCTTTCTTTCTTTCTTTCTTTTTATGACTGGAAGCAAGAAGATAGGCTTCCAGCTCTAAGCATAACCTGGTGTACATTTCTCAGACAGTGGGTCTTTATTCCAGAGCACTAGACACAGGGCCATTTTCTCCTGCACTTGGTAGGTCCTTGAAAATGATTGGAGAACTCCATACACTAAGAGTACAGAAGTGACTGCTTTAGGCAGCCTTTGTCCCTGGTGCCATTCCCCTGTCTTACCACTTGTTAGTAGTGTCCAGGCATCTCCTCACCCACTTCTTAGGACTCCTTGTGTGCCTGTTGCTCTCTAACTGGTCAAAGTGTTCTTCACTGGCTCCTTTCCTGGGCCTGTCCTTCAGAAGAACCGAGATAGGCCGTCTTTGCCAGAATTATAAGTGATTTAAGAGGTCAGTAAGACTCAAGTCCAGAGATTGACTTTGGGGAGAGTTGTGAATACCCAAAAATGCATGCATAGTATGGGTTGGGATATGTGTGGATTTTCCTCATCACAAGGACTTATAATGGGCCAGTGAGATGGTTGGTGGGTAAAAGTGCTTGCTTCCTGATCTTCTGTATTTTATCCCTGTGACCCACAGAGAATTGACTCCTAAGGGTCATCCTTTGCCCTCCACATGCATGCCTCACCATGGCATGAGTGTGCCTATAGGAATATATCACACACACACACACACACACACACACACACACACACACCACAAACTAATTTTGATTAAAAAATTTTTTTTGTCTTTTTGAGACAGGGTTGGCCTGGAACTCACTCGTCCAGGCTGGCCTTGAACTCACAGAGATCTGCCTGCCTTTACCTCCCATGTGCTGAGATTAAAAGTGTGCGCCATCACGACCGACCTTGATTCAAAAAAGTTTAAGAATTGGGTAGGTAGTATTCACAGATGAGGAAAAGAGCCCAGAAATATTGAGTATCATGCCTAAACTTTAAAAGGCATGATACTTCAGTCTGAAGTAAATGTGGAAAAACACATTAATAGTACCCAGTGCTTGCCACATGCAGAAGGAACTCATTAGAGGTTAAATTCATCTGACACTGAAATGCCAGAGACTGGCATTAACTTTGGCCGAGAAATTTTCCATGTTTTTAAAGTTTGTGGATTCAAATCATTTGATGAAATAGCCGCTCCTTTTCTGGGTGGGGATTTGTTTGCATTTTCAAAGTGTCTCAGCATTCCCCTTTACCTAGCTGTTTCCAGAAATCCCACTGCTTGTACTTCCACAGTTTGTCTCTTCTTCCAGTGAACATCTTCCAGTCTACCTCAGTTCTGGGTGTTTGACAAATGTTAGACTATGCCTCTGTCTAGACATTTGTCTTCCTATGACAGTAGGAAGTAGGTCTCTTTGTAGATGATGAAATAACCTACTGAAGTAGGTCTCTATATAGATGATGAAATAACTCATTTTGATGGGTGGTTAACAACTTAAAAAAAAGGGATCTTGTATTGAAGTAAAGCATACAGAAAAGTAACATAACAGGTCATAAGCATAGCATGATACACCTTCACAAAGTAAAGATGTATGTAACCAGAACTCAGAGAAAGAATCAGAATGTACAAGATCTCTGGAATTCCTTCATTCCCTCTTCTGTTCTCTACCGCCCACCTTAGAACTACATGTAAGTGGAGTTATATTTTCTCTTTTGTGTGGCTTTTATTTTTTGACATCCACCCAGGTTGTTTCATTATAGTGTAATTTTACATTCTCGATGTAGTATTACATTGTATGCATATAACATAATTTCTCTAGACTGTTGTACAGTGATATGAATTCACAATTGGAGCTATTGAAAATAGTGCAACAAGTGCTTTTTACAAAGTAAAAGAAATAAAAGCATATATATATATATTTACAATAATGTGCTATATGTTGCTTATATATTTATGTACCAAGTTTTGGGTCATAAAGTTGCAAATTTTTTACGACTTTATTGAGATACAATTCCACTTAAAGTATGAAAACATTGCTGTAGGCCACTGTCATTCTTGGTAAGAAATAGTTCTTTCTTTAGAACTCAGCTGTAAGGAAGGCCTTTCCTTCCCTAACCTTACTTACTCATATGTGAAACAAGTAGCCATCATTTGCCTTCTGTGAACCTGGCCATATGTTAGGTACTGAGGACATGCACGGGAGCCTCTCTTGAAGCCTACAGTCACTGAAGCTTAGTCTCCCTCTCAAGCAGGTCTCAGCCAACTAGAAGAATTGCTTCTGAGGCCCATGAGTAGGATGATGGGTCAACATAGAGTGGTTTCTTTCTAAGCCACTGCCCTAGTTCCTTTCCTTAGATGCTCATGCTTTATACACATTTCTGCTGCCATAGTAGATGTTTCTGTGCAATGTAGGAATATGTTAGAAACTTAAAAACATGTGAGGATGGTTAATGGTATAATGCTAGTCTAACTTTAATGGTACATATGTAGTTAGTTTATGCGGTAGAGCAGCGGCCAGCAAACTGTGCCTTAAAACCTTAAATAGTATGAACATTTTAGGTTTGTAGATCATGCAGTCTCTGTTACAATTGCATGTTTCTATAGTTGCAGCCGTAAAGCAGCAATGAATAAATGAGTGAATGATTGTGTTTCAATAAAACTTTATTTACAATGAGATGACAGTGGTCCCTGGGTCATACTTTGCCTGTTCTTAAACTACAACAAGCTCTGTTTACCCTAGACCAAATAATGCAGACATGCAAGTTATTTTTATGAGGGTGGCTTATTACTGATAAGCAGTTTGTCTTCTCCAGAGTTTTGCTTCTAATGAATTTTGTAGGTCTGTTCTTTTTTCTTTGACAGATTTGCTAAGGAGAAAGTGTGAGGAGTTTTTTCAACACTAAGAGGTGTATGGGTTCTTTTTATGTTTGTTTGGTATAGCTTGGACTGTTCATTATAGATAGGAAAATTTCCCTCCTATTTTAGGATTATTAGTCCTTCCTCTGAAATTGTTATACTCAGTTTCCTGTCCTCAAATTAGTATTGCTTCTCAAACACTTACATCCTTTTCTTTAGTATCAACCATCCCCCAGTACCCATGGCTATCCTAACATCCCATGCTGTACCTGCAATTGGACACTATCGAGTAGTAGACAGAGCTTAGACTTGGAATCAGGAACTGCATTTGTGAGTCCTGGTCTGATAACTAAGAGTTCTATGACCTTGGAAGGTCAAACTTGTTTCTTTTTTTCCACTTGTAAACAAGAACACAAATCCTACTTCTCTCAAATAGGGTGATATTTGTGAAAATGCTTTATAAACTGAAATGTTATCTTCAGAGTGACAAACAGAAAACTCATCAAGTGCAGTTTTCAGTTACCAAGCAAATATGTGTGTGCATTCTTTTATTCTCATTTTCTCTGTGTATCAAATGTCTTTTCCTACAATGCTTTGGAAAACTATCTTTCTCAGACATTGATCCAATTTTCTTACACAAGCACTTAGAAAAGGATCCTTAAGAGAAGATGAACATGCAGCTGGATCCACCCATTCCCTCGTAGTTGTACAGGGGTCCACACCCTATTCTTCAGTGGCTACTTTGGAGGATGTCTCCATTGGTGTTAATGTATCTGGGTATTAATCATAGTTAAAGCTTAAAATCTGACAACCTACAAGTGAGGAATTAAAATTCTGGATCAAGAGGAACCAAATTCACACCAGTGGGTGAAAGCTTCAGAGGTAAAGTTTTTCACTCAGTATAAAAAAAGATTTTTTTCCCCTGATTAAACAAAATGTAGCTTTGATTACTTTGTCAGGACATGAGTTTCCTGACACTGAACATGTGCAGGGACAGAACAAACCACTGTTACTCAGGTCCTAGAGGAGAGTTGTCTTGGAGTGGACTGTTTCCACCTGTAGAATCTTGGTCCCATTCTAGTTTCTCATATTCATTTACACACAGATGGTAATTTATTTTCTCTCTTGGTGACATATCCCCCAGTAATAATATAACACACATTTTAAAATGCTAGCTTTCCTTCTGGCTGTATTGTAGTCATTATTAGTAACAAACATGAATCCAAGCTCCTACTCTCTGTTTATGTTCTTGAACAGCCTGTCCTACTGGATTTCCTCAGGGGTTTCTGCTTAATTGTTACTCAGTTCATAGAGCAGGCACCATTAAACACAAAACAGTTTCCTGCTACTCTTTCAGAATTAGTTTCCTTTTATGGATGAAACATTTAGACATTTTCTCACTTGGAGGGAGCACACAGTAGTATTTATTCTAAAGTAGGTCTTGCTAATGCAAGATCAGGTCCTGAAATCACAGGACAGGGCCTATGCCCTGCTCATAGGGAAGCAGTTCTGGTTGTGGTACTTATCCTCTCCTCTGCTTCAGTTCTCTCAGCTACTCGAAGAGAAAAACAACCTCTCCATCCAGCTCAGTGACACCAGCCAGAGTCTTCGTGAGAACCAGCAACACTACAGTGACCTTTTTAACCACTGCGCTATCTTGGAGAAGCAGCTGCAGGAGCTTCAGGTGGTAAGGCAGTGGCGAGAGGCTAGGAGAGATGTCAGGAAGCATAAAGAACAGCATGGCAGGATGGGAGGGATGTGGGAGAGGAGAGCCAGCCATAATGGTTATGGGAAGAATGCCTAAGAAAAAGCACCAAGTGCATTCCTAATGGTAGTTTGAAGCAAAATGCTCAGTGAGATGGTGGGAGAAAACAAAATATGAGTGGGAAATAGTGATGACAAAAGTAAGAAAAGTGTGCTTCAAGAAGATCCTCCTGGAACAGGGACCTCTGGCTGACTAGATTTACCAGAAGGGCAGATAAGGGGGAATGGATGGGGGTGCTGACAGCACAGTGGACAGTGGCAGGGATAGCAGAGTATGGAGGCTCTAGTGGGAGAGGAAGGCTGTCTACCTGACAGTTTGTATACATGCTCAGATGCTGAGGAGCTCAGAAGGTGGGCGACTGTGACCAGTCTTATAGAGTTTATAATGAGTAAAAGATTATATAAGCGTAATAATTCATCTGTAAACCTAGAAATGTACAGCCAATTTTGAAAGAGATGTACCCTAGCTCAGAAAAATGTTATTGAATAGGTTAATGCTGTTGTAATGAAACGCTTCTTCTAATTAAAAAAAAATTATTAAAAAAGAAAAATTTTAAAACAAGGCCAGCCTGGTCTACACAGTGAGTTCCAGGACAGCTGGGGCTACAGGGAGACCCTGTCTCAACAAGGCCAAAAAAAAAAAAAAAAAAAAGAAATCAACAGAGATGGGCATGGCAGGTGCATACCTGTAATCCCAGCACTTGGGAGGCAGAGGCAGATTCTGTGAGAATGAGGCTAGCCTGGTCTACATAGTGAGTTCCAGGTCAGCTGGGGATACAGGGAGACCTGTCTCAAAAAATAAAATTAAAAAAAAAAAAAATTAGAAAAGTATGGGAGAATTTGGTCCTGACAGACTAGGCGGAACTGTTGTGGGGGTGGAAAGGGGTGCAGCATGGAGGTGGCTGAGAATTAATGTCAGGTTACACAATGTAACACAGAGGAGGCTGTAAGGGAAGGATCAGAGTCACTTGAAAATCCATCAACTTCACTAGATGAAAGCAGACTTTGATGGGAAGATTTCAGACCTGCAAGATGAGAAATTTGGGACTGGAGAGATGACTCAGCAGTTAAGAGCACTGGCAGCTCTTACAGAAGACCCCTGTTCAGTTACCAGCACCCACATGGTGACTAACCTTTCACCCACATGGTTGCTAAGAACCAATTCATAACTTCAGTTCCAGGGGATCCATCGCCCTCTTCTGGCCTCTGCAGGAGTTGCACAACACTGGTATACTTGTATATATGCAGGCAAAACACTCATACACATAAGATAAAAATAATTTTTTTTTTAAGATGAGAAATTCAAGAATGAGAATCAGAGGGAAAGGTTAAGAAGATCCTCTATGGCAGTGAAATGGCTCAGTGGGTAAAATCGCTTGCATCAAACCTGATGACCTGAGTTCAATTCCTGGGACCTACATGGTAAAAGGAGAGAACCAACTCCCCCAAGTTGCCCCCTGACTTCCACAGTGTGGCGTGCTCATGCCCCACCCCTATGCATGCAAAATAAATTAGAATATAATAAAAATTAAGGAGAAAAAAAAGTCCCCTTCTGTGGAGGTGACTAGTCTGGAGCAGAAGAGTCTTATTCTCTCTGGACTTCAGAATTCTAAGTAGGGACTGTTCCTTCCTGATATTTCTAACCCTCTCTACTGTTAAATAAGCACTCATTTTGCAGAAGTACAGTATCCTACGAGCTTTCATCACTGAATTACTAAGCCACTGCTTCTTCTAGGGGCCACTAAATGCAGATGTTGCTCCAGGAGCTCCCCAGGAAAAAAATGGGGTTCACCGAAAGAGTGATCCTGATGCTGCAAGGGAGCCACAGCTAAGGTAGGGCAGCAGGGCTCTTCCTTTGAGTATATACTATGTTGTCAGAAATTGGGTTGAAGGTAAGAAAGGGTAGTGGGGGAGGGGGTGAGTATAATTAAAATATATACATGTATGGAAATATAACAAAACCTATTATGTGTGATTAATACATGAAAACAAAAAACTTCACAGAAAAAACTAGTTTCACAGAAGAGCTATATAGATTAAATTGTAATAAAAGCTTGTAAGCCAAAACTGCAGTAACACAGCATGTATAAACACAGCACTGAAAAACTGTGGAATTAAAATAAAACTATTCAATCAGTCTCTCGAATCTCTTAATATATTTTCTGCAGTTTCATTTAATCGCTCTATAACTATGCTTTCATGATCATCTTTGTGTTCAGGGAAACGTCCATTCCTGCTTTATAACTTTATGAAGACTGCCATTAGTAGTGGTGTTCTGCATCTAGCAATGCTGTTTGTTCTCCTTTATCCTAAAGTTTTTCTGAAGCCCAGCAGCAGCTATACAACACCAGACAAGAAGTGAATGAATTAAAGAAGCTGCTGGAAGAAGAACGAGACCAAAGAGCGGTGGCTGAGAACGCTCTCTCTGTGGCCGAGGAGCAGATCAGACGGTAAGCAGTGGGAGGCAGTCTCTTCTCTTCTCACCCTTCCTGACATCATTTGTGCACATTTCTGTGGCCAGGCTTGGGCTGAATGAAGATCTTAATCTCCCCTTGACATGGTCCTGAAGTGAGCTAAGAATCATTGTTATCACTCAGAAACAGTATTTCTGGAGTTCAGGAGGCTTGTGCTTTCTGTAGCAGCAGCTTGTAGGGATTAATAAAAATATGTTTACCATTCATATTATATAAAGTAAGCTGTAAAAGATATCTTATTTCATCCCAAGAGTAACTATATGATGTAAGTCTTGGGGAGGGGGAGAGGGCATGTACAGAATCCAGAGGAGGATGCTGGATGCCTTGATGTTTCATGCTCCATCTAGTTCCCTTGAGACAATCAGTGTCTCTCACTGAACCTGGAGCTTACCATTTTTCAGCTACCAGTAAGCCCCACCAATCCTCCTGTCTCTACCTTTCCCATTGGACTGAAACCTTAAAGATTGGAACATATGGGAGATTAAAAGAACACTTTAGAAAAAGTAGAACTTTTGATTTATTGGCAAATGTACTGCCTAACCCTTAGGGCTGCCCCCCTCCCCATTTACAGACACTGTTGGCCAGAGTAAGCTTGCCTTGCCCAAGACCCTGCTCTTACCCAGCTAGGAGGACATTGGAGTAGTGGTGACTCGTGCTGTTGTAGGCAGTTTGCCCTACACACCCTTTGTTGCTTATTCCCAGTCAAGACAATCACTGTGCACAAGAAGGTAGAGTGGCTACAAGTGTTTTGTTTCTGGAAGTCCCTTTTTGTGGAAAGAAACATTAAATGCAGGCAGCTCTATCATGACTCAAGAACAAGCCACCCATGTGTATTGTCTCTTCTCTCAGAGAATGAGTGGCAATGGGGATATTACTGCCTTCTTGCAAAGCCTAGGTGGCAGAGGTACCTGCCCCAGGGAGCAGGTCTTATTTGGAACTTTTTTCTTTTCCGGACGGCTTTTTGTTTTTAGCAGCCATCTGGGCGACTTAGAGGGTGAACTTTGTAGGAGCACAGTGCAGCCTCATCTCTGCCAAGCATTTTCAGGCCTGTACGCTCATGGTAGTTTCTCATCTCTGTGAAGCCTGGCCTGTTAATCCCCCTCAGGTGTCATTAATCTGTCTTAAACCAACTTGAGACTGTTTAGTGTAGGATGACCCTGGAGTCTGTGTCTGGGCCTCATTGACCTAAGTTTGGCCCCTCCCCAGTTCCCTTGCTGGCTGGGATATAGCATGGAAACTGACTAAGTAACCACCCATGTAGACCAGGTACTATGATTTCAATGTTAGAGCCAAACAGCACTCTAGTACATGAGGAACTTGGAGCCTTGAAGTTTAAAGGCAGCCAAGACTGTTTGTCTCTAATGCCTACTGATAGCCTCTTTACAGAAGAAGTGGAGACTGACCCCAACAGGAACGGACCACCCTGCTCCAGATCAGGGCTGCCTTTAAGATGCCTTGCAGAGCACGTAAGAGGGAGTTAGGCTGCACGTGCTCAGGTTCGCTTTCCAGACCCACAGTTTGGACGAAGGCATTTCCTCTCTACTAGAGAAGAGAGTGTGGCTGGCAAACAGAAGGTGTATTCAGCTGACAGCTCCCTCTAGTGGGAGGATGCATGAAGCGAGGGGGGGGTTCTGTCCTCCCCACAATAGTTAAAACGTGTGTTCCTGCAGGCAAATGATTGATTGATTGATGAAACATGCCCTTGCCACAGTTCTTGTTTGGCCCAGGACCATGGAGTAATGGCAGCTTCATCATTAAATGGAGAACTTCCCATGTGCATTAGTAAGCAGGTCAGCAAGGAGTGAGCAGAGAGCTGTGAAGACTGCCAGCTGAGCTCTATTCTAAAGGCCTACAGAAGCTTTCTCTTAGATGTGTGTGCCTATTGTAAATGAAAAAAGTGGCAGATGTGATAGTGCATGTCTGTGATCACAGCCCTCAGGAGGCAGAGGCAGGAGAGTCCTAAGTTCAAAGTTATCCTGGGCTACAGAGTGAGCCCCATCTTAAAAAACAGAGAGGGAAAGGGAGAAGAAAAAGAGGAAATTCATGGGTTTCTGAGTCAAATGTGTCATAATGGGATGGAACAAAAGAGAAAGGGGCTCAAGAACAAACAGGTATTGACTCTGGTTCCACTGCTTGCTGGTCATACTGCCTGGCAAAAATCTATACCAACCTCCAAACCTCTGCATCTCCAGTGTGGGAAGTAGCCAAGCCTGCATCTGGCACAAAGTAGGCAGTCCTGGTGGCCACTGTCACTGTTACTACTATGTGGGCCAGGACTGTGGGAGCAGCCTTTGCTGCCAGTCTTCTGTGCCACCTTCCCAGGGTGACTGACAAGACTCCCTTTGATCAGCCTCCCTTGCAGGGAACCCATGCTGTGCCTTATTTTTCTCAACACAGGTTGGAGTACAGCGAATGGGACTCCACCCGGACTCCTATCATTGGCGCCTGTGGCTCTCAGGAGCAGGCACTATTAATAGATCTCCCTGGCAACAGCTGCCGAAGGGTAAGAGGGGAAAGGATACAGACAGTGCTCTGCTGTGGGGACAGATGTGTAGGTGGGCGGATGGTGAGGGTGTTCAGCCACTGAGCCACTGGACTGTTAAATTGTCCACCCTGAGGAGACTTTCTCCCAGGATGCCTTTCTTCCACAAGGATGGTATCCTCGTGGCTTAATTGCAGGATAACTGGTGAAGGAAAAGAAGCATATTCCCATAAGATAAACTCTGACTTCCCCATTTTTTTCAGACCCGGAGTGGTGCTGGATGGAAGCGGGTCCTACGTTCTCTCTGCCATTCCCGGACGCGAGTGCCACTGCTGGCAGCCATCTACTTCCTGATGGTTCATGTTCTACTCATTCTGTGTTTCACAGGCCATCTATAAACTTGTCACTTTTTAGACCACACCCTTCAGAACTTGTAATTCCTTCACTTGTCAGTTCCAGAACAGCCTTCCCACTTTCAGCTCATCCATGCCTCCTTGAAGAGTGCCTGAAAAAAGAGGTGGCTGTGAGGACAGGTTGGGGAGCAGCAAGGCCTGGTGCATCTGCACTCTTCTATACAATGCCCTGAACAGTTCTGTTTGGTTTGAGAAGCCTCCCAGGTAGTGTGCTGTGCCCAGTGTTTGCTCAGATTTTGCAGATCCACATCTCTTTTGGTTCTGTGAAATACTGAGGGATGTCTTTCAGCCAAGGCAAGAAGACAGTTCCAGTACTAGCGATCTGAAGTCCATTCTCATTCTTAGTGGTAACTTGCTCTATCTTGTTGCCTACATTTTCTCCTGCCTCAGAGAGAAGGCAAAATTCTGGGAATGAACAACACATTGCCTCACAGGACATGTGAGCAAGTCTCGGAGACTCAGGTGGGAGCTGGAGGGCCTCTCAGGCTTCAGCTGCTGGATCACAGGGCAGACAGCATTTTCTTTTCTGGCTCTTCCTTCAGCATTGGAGGGAGAGTTTGTTGCCCTGAACCATAAGGGCAGCACCCCATTGCTTATGCCCCTAATCACATGTAGATTAAGGTATTAAGTGGCCAGTGCCTTTCCTTCCACTGAAAGGTAGAAGAACTGGTGTTGGACAGCAGAGTCCAGATTCTTGTTAGTCCTGTGTCCTGGATGTGCCTCCATATGGGTCCTGAGATGGTGCCCAGGGACCAGCAAGGGACCACACCAGGGCGAGCCAGGCTCAGGTCTCATTATCACACTGCAACTTCCAGCCTCGAGAACTACTGCGCTGCTGTGCTGTTGAGCTCTTGGTGACAGCACGTTTCAGTTGCTCACCCCATAGTCATTCCCCTCTGTGGAAGAGAGGACTGAGGAAGATGGAAAAACACTTGAATCCAGGCCTGAGAGCAGCAGCTAGGAGTGAACTCCACTGTGCCTGTTCCCTCCTCTCCCTCTCCCCACTTTAGCTGTGTTTTCTCATTATAGATGTGATGTGTTCCCTTCCTGTTCTCACCACAGCTCTAAATCTTTTTCTTGTGGTGATTAAATTTGGTCACAACATCCCAAGAACTTTCCTTAACTACTGTAAAATAATAAAGTTATTTTCAGAATGAGGAATTGTGTGAGAATGTATGTGCACAGGTGTTTAAGTACTTGTGTTTGCACACTATGAGGAGGGAGGGAAGGAGAAAGGGAGGAGTGGTTACAGGAGCTCTAAAACTCAGGCTTCTCACTGGTCAGCATCAGATATGGCTATAGAATATCTTGTAGCCTTGGCTGCTGGACCCAAAGAAGATGGAGACTAAACTAAAGGAGCTGAGTCTTTCGAATCTTTTGACTCTTACGTATAGTCCTGAGAGAACTCTTGAAAACATTAGGCTACCAGGTATGGTGGCCCGTGCCTGTAATCCTAGCACTTGGGAGGTTGAAGCACAAGGGATCATAAGTTCAAGGCCAACCTTGGCTATATAATGTTTGGCTATATAATAACACTGTGCTGCATAACAAGACTGTCTCAAAGAAAAAGAAGGCAGTAGCAGGAGCAACAAAACAAACACCAAAAAACAGGCCCCTAAGAGAATGGGTGAAGGGAAGTTTTAAAACTCAGCAGGTTAAGTAGCTGCTGTTAATATAAGAGTATTAACTTGCTGCTTGGGGAAGGCTAGTCCAGTTTCTCAAGGTACAAGTGGATTAAATGAACCTGATCTGTCTGGTTTCAAAGCCTTTGCTATTACTGCATGTTATACTTCACTAACTCAAAGGAATGAACTTCCAACATACATAAAGGGGAAATGGGGTTTCTTGGTCTCACCTCTAATTTCTATAGTTTCTCCAGAGAACTGTATTACTGTATGGTGTGTTATAATAGCTGGTCTGATAATTCTCACTTTGACATTGGATTAGAACTTCAAATAAGCTCAAAGATTTTCCCTCTCTACACATTTCCTTTAAAGTAGCTTTGGTGCTACCATGATAAAAGATCACAGAGAACAAATAAGTTGCCTGAAATATAGAATCTTGTTTAGAAGCGAACGAAACTTTCTGTCCCTTGTGGATAAATGTTCTCTTCCATCATGGACCAGTTAGTGTATCAAGCCTGGTTAGGACCCATTGGAGAATTCATTGTCTATAAGCAGATCAAGCCAGAACTCCACAGATGATCAAGATAAGGAGAGACTGGATCCGATACAATAACAAACACTCCCCAAATTCCCTTTTTAAGATTTAAAAATATTTTGAATTATATGTGTGTGTGGGTATCTGCATAGGTCTGGATGAGGGTATCAGATCCCCCAGAGCTGTAAGCCACCTGATGTGAGTGCTGGGAATTGAGCTTGGGTCTTCTGCAAGAGCAGCTTGTGCTCTTCACCACTGAGCCATCTCCAGCCCACTGCTGAAATTCTTAGTTGCTAAAACAACAAAAGATGATTTCTCAACCAAAGATGCACATCTTTCAAATGATGCTTGGGGCTTTATTTGCTTTGTCAGTTGTTGCCACTCAGGGCCCAGGCTGCCAGGGGAGCTACCTTGGAGAATATAGGGCAGTAAATGAAAGCACAGCAAAACTCTCAGTGGCCCTCAATAAGGAAAGAGTCCAATCTATCAGCTCAGACTCCACACAGCTTCCCAATAAGCTAAGAACATTTCTTCCTCCATGTCTTGCCTTACTTCTCATGGGTTATTCCCATCATTTGACTGATACTTGGATATCAGTTATAAGTAAACTCCATTTTAATTGCTATAGGTAATATAGAGATGAGTTTGTATTTAAGGCATATCCTTTGAAATTCACATACAAATCACTTTCCCCACTAAGCTTTGTGTGATTACTGCAGCCCATATCAAATGTTAATTATCTTTCCCCCTTAGACAAGGTCTCTGCAATAGTATATTGTAGCCCAGGCTGCCCAGAACTAGTATTCCTCCTACCTTAGCCTCTTCTTATTACTTGGATTGCCGGTGTGCCTCACCACGCCCACTTGACTTGTTTTAAATTTTAATATCATCACAAGTGCAAATGCCCACCAATTTAGGACACAAGGTGGTTCTACAGCCTTCCCAAATACGTCTTCCCCTGGGGTGTTTTTTCTTTAATGAGCTTACAAACTTGCCTATAAGAGCAGCTATGTTTCTCACTACCCCATGACCTAGCAAAACTTTGCTAAATACTAGTTACAGAAACACTTAACCCTTTTGATTTGAGTGCCTAAAGCAGAAGGAACTGACTCAAGCTTCAGGAAGTAGCTGTGAAGACAGTGTGGCAGGAAATGACAGAAAACCTGAATACGGAACTGAAGCAGCTGCTCAGTTTCTTGCTCTGGCAGCGGCTAAAGAGGGCACCCCGGTGAGAACGTGAAGAGCCAGAGTTTTGATCAAACACACCAGTGAAGGTGGGTACCTTGAGCAGTGGGGGAGAGAGCTGGGGAGCACAGGGTGAAAGAGACATCTGTTTAACAGTCCTTGGCAGGGGCAAGGTCACTGTTAGTAGGTATTGAACCTTTGGTGACTATCAAGGCAGTGGTTGTAGAGAATGAGCATCTATCCGAGGATGGAAACAAAGGCCTGTGCCCCAGGGAACCCCTGTCTAGGACGCAGACCCAGCCAGTGTGGCCTGCTTCCTGCCGATCTCCAGCCCACTGGGCACTGAGCTGGAAGGAGACCCACAGAAGATGAAGACAAGTCTGCCCTTGTATGGTCTAGCAGGGACAATAAACCTACACAGGAAATGTAACAGAACAGGAAATAGTCACAAATGAACACTGGCTCTGAGAGCCAAGTGCTCCTAGAGGCCTAGTGCAGGCAAGATTACTGAGCCGCAGTAACTTTCTGTGTTTGTGGGATTATAGAATCCTAGAGTGTCAGAAAGAGCAAGGCCTTTACTTAGCTATCTTAACCCTTCATTTATTTTCCATTGAAGAAATCAGTGATTTGCCAATTCAGTTAGTACTTGCCAATTGCTTAGTCTAGTCTGGCTAAGGAGTATACACTCCTGCTCCAAGTGGCAGCCGCTAGAGAGGACACCAAGTGAGGACATGAGGAGCCAGAGGTTTGATCTACAAGGTGGGGTTGATCTATAACTTCCATCAACACGGCTGTGATCATAAAGCTGGGTATCCATGGCTCTCTTGACTTTACTGCTGACATAAGTCAGCCCTGTGATCAGGCCTTGAGTGTGTCTGACATTCAGGGCACTGTTCTTCATCAGCCTCCTCCTTCAACCTTCCATCAATCATCAATAGGCCAAAGATAATAAGTTGTTTATTTTGTTCTTAAAAATGAGTGTGAGAAGATGATGGGAGAGATGGGCTGGGGCCTTGGGAACAGCAGGAAAGAAGACAAGACCATTGGACCTCATTGCTTCCTTATTGGTCATCAGTGTATTTCAGACTTCTCCTTTCCAGTTTTCTATTGTGAGGTCCTTCTGCTGCAGAGCAGCCCAAGAGCCAGGGGATGCCAAGCAGAGAAGCAGTGGGGATGTGGATTTTAGGTTCTCTATACTGGTCCTAACCCTATGTATAGCTGTTGCCAAGCAGACAAGGCCAAGTTGCTCTTAGTAGTAGCTCACAGTGATTCTCAGTCAGGCTCACTCAGTCACAACTTCTCCAGTTGCTCTTTAGCACATCTTTAACCAGTCTACCTCAGATTTCCCCAGGGCTCATTTCCAAGGGTTATTCCAAAAGTATGTGCAAGAACGGAGTTTCCAAGTGCATACAGAATGTGAAGACTTGGGGCCGAGATAAATAGAGCCTTGGGAGTTGTTGAAGGGGGCCTCCTTTAGGAGACAGTGAAGAGCATGGGGAAGGCCTCCGGTGTGTGTGGGGGTGTCTGAAGGGTGGGTAAGGACTTGTTAGCTAGCTGGTACGGACTGAACCAGGAAATCCCAGAGGCCACAAGGGCAGATGAGCATTGTCCATTGTTACCTCTCCACACCAGGATTCAGAAGCCCACAGTGCAATTGGATAGACTGTCATGCACCCTTGGCAAGGCTCCATGGAACACAGGTGTCTCAGTGGAAGAACGATCAACACCCATCAACTAGTGTTCTCCAGAGATTTCGTTAACATTTTTTTAGTTGATAATACCACAGAACCTTCATATAAGGGAACTTGTCGCGTGCTGTTTTTGAACTTTTTTTTTTTTTTTGGTCTTTTTGAGACAGGGTCTCTCTGTAGTCCCAGCTGTCCTGAAACTTGCTATGTAGACCAGGCTGGTCCTGAACTCACAGAGATCTGCCTGTCTCTGCCTCCCGAGTGCTGGGATTAAAGGCATGTGCCACCACATCCAGCATCTTTTTGAAGTAGTTCTATTTTTTATTATTTTTATTTTATGTGTATGCATGTATTGCTTCATGTATGTAAGTGTACCTGTGTCACACAATGCCCACAGATGACAGAAAAGGATGTTGGATCCCCTGGAACTGGAGTTACAAATGGTTGTTAGCTGCCCTTTGGGTGCTGGGAATCAAACCCCGGTCTTCTGCAAGAACAGCCAGGGCTCTTAACTACTGAGCAATCTCTCTAGCCCCCTAGCTGGACATTTTTTATTGATTGATAAAAAAGTAAAGACTTGTTATTTTCTTTCTTTAAAAACTGAGTGATAGATGATTTATTACCAGCACATAGTATTTCCCCACACATCAAGCAATCAGTATAGATATTTCAGCTGATGGTCCCTACTGACAACCTACATCTGTGCAATGAGTGACCTGTCTCAGAGTACGTGTGGGATAGTACTTCCACTAAGAGGTAAAAAAGTTTCCAATATAGTTATGTAGATTATAGATAAGAGGGAACTCAGCTCATTTGTGTTTTGGCAGCTAGAAAAGGAATCATAGAGAAAACTCTTAGTGAAATGCCACCATAAGCCTGTGAATGTTATGTGTCCACTGATCATCCCCACAAGCTTGGCCTGGTTGGCCTCCTGACATAGTGAAAAGTCCCATCAACTTGACCCAAGTTATTTAGTAATACCTATACCTGAGAGGACTTCTCTCCAGGTTCAGGTAGGCTCAGACCACACTGGTTTATCATAAATAAATCTCATCCTTTCCTCTTCTAATTGAGCAGAAGTGCTTCTCTAAAACGTCTCTCCTTTGCCTCAGCACCTATTTTCTTCTAAGGAAGGTGGGAAACATAATTGTTCTAATGTTGACGTCAGCAGCACTCTTGTCTTCCATTTTCAAGTCTTTTTCTGTTGTTAATTATTCCCATCTTCTGTCACCCTCAGATGTGGAAATCTGTAGTGGGGCATGATGTATCTGTTTCCGTGGAGACCCAGGGTGATGACTGGGACACAGACCCTGACTTTGTGGTAAGTTGGGAAGTAGCTTTGCTTGGGATAATGAAGAAGGTAGATGAGGGTAGAGACCTTTGAAGGCGTAGGAAAGGACCATCTGGGACTGAGATAGTCTTGGTAGGATAGATTGGTAGGACCATTAGCTATCATAAAAGGGGCATACCCGATAGCTGGTGTTGAGGATAGAAGTAAACGTGGATGCGTCTGATAGTGTGACTGACAGACTAAGTTAGGCTATCCTGAAGTTGAGATCAAGAGAACCTGAGACTCCCCTTGCTTATGATCCAGGATTTGGGCTGGATTGAGATGTAGGAGAGCTGAAGAGTAGACTGAGAAATTTAGAATAAGGATGGCAGTTTTAGAGATCACTAGTTTAATTTTAATATTCATATGGGGTGGGGGGTAAAAACAGCTATGAGTGTAAAGACCTTTAAAGAAAAAGTAGCTGATGCAGGAGGCAGGAAGGGCATGTGTGCAGCTGTGAGACCCCTTGCAGCATGGCACTTACTGTTGCATGCTGTTTCTTGTAGAATGACATCTCTGAGAAGGAGCAACGGTGGGGAGCCAAGACCATCGAGGGCTCTGGTCGCACAGAGCACATCAAGTAGGTGCCAAAAGAACTGGGAAGGGCAATATGTCATGTGAAGAGCTGACAGAAAACCTGGGGACTTTGGAGTGTGTTGAGGGAAAAAGAGTAGTCCTTGTCTATGAATTGTTGTATTTGTTTTTCTCTAGAAGCTATCTCTGTGTGTTTCTACTTCATCTTTCTCATCTTTACTCCCGATCCTATTATCTGTCCTTTATATATAACAGCTTTACCATTTCCCCCATGGAAATCTTTTATATTAACTATCTCTCTTCCTTCAGTCAGGTATAGGGGCTCAAAGAAGTGGCTCAAATGCCAAGGCTCTATCTATCATCTCTCTCTCTCTCTCTCTCTCTCATCTATCTATCTATCTATCTATCTATCATCATCTGTCTATCATCATCTACCTACCTACCTATCTATTATCTATCAGATGCCATTCATCTGTCTTTTTACGTAAGTTTAAATGTGTGCTTAGAATGTTGGGTGACTTCAGATGGGTTAAGAAAGGCTTCAGTAAAATGTCAGGGTGAGGAACTCCATAAAGGCTGCAAAGAGGACAATATCAGCTCTCATTCTTGGTCCAATGACTTAAAATACATATTTGTACTTAATAAGTAGCAGAAGTTAGGAACCACTAATATTAATATAAAGAAATGTGACATTTAGAAAACCTGATGACTAAAAGCATTTTAGCATTGATGGTTAGGTGTCTTCAAGATAATACCCCAAAAGAAAAATTTATCAAAAAGAAAGAAGGAATTACAGGCATATCTAGGGTTTCTGTAGAATATATTATACATTTGGATTGAGAGATATTCTCCTCTTTCATAGATTATTTGGGATCATTTAACCAGGGCTGTTGGCTTTGAGTAGTACCAGGCTGTAAAATATCAGAAATGTAAACACAATAAATGGCAAAATGAGAGCAAACATTAAAAAGTAAAAAATCAACAACTATACATAAATTCAGCAAGGTTAAGACAGCTCCATTTTCATCTCCCTCTCTCATACTTTAACAATATTTTAGTCTCAATTCCCCCTAGGTTTTAAGAAGTATCAGCAATGTCCACATTACACAAGCAATACACTAAGGAGACTCGGGCAGTGCTTATGTGGATTGGGTATATTCAGTACTGGGTACAGTTGCTTAACCAGACATAAATGGTTTGGATTAAATAGCTGCACTGAATTTTATCCTTGCACAACTCAAGCAATTCTAGAAAGCATTCACAGGGACAAAGAAAAAGAAAAGAAGCAGGACCTTTTAGGAAACTTTTTCAGTGCTCATTCATTTGAGGGCTCACTGTTCCCAAAATGTCAAAGCTCTTCTCCTTTTCTGAGTCAAGGCCACAGGGGTCTGGTATTCTGGGAACAATTTAGATGAGGAAACATTCTAATGGTGCCTACCCCTCCCAATATCCGAGCCTTGTGTAGAAGGTTGGAGTAGAACCTTTTAAGGAAGACTTCTAAATTCCTGCCATGATTCTACATAAAGAGCTTGAGTTTAGATGTCAGATAACTTTAGATTCCATTCATAGCTCTATTGTTGTTAGTAATGTGAACATAATCTCTTAGTATCCAGTTTATTTATCCACAACAATAACTGCCCTGAAAGTTTATGTTTGGAATTCAATGGACAGTATGTGTTAGATGACCCTGTATATCTCCATGGTAACCTAACTGGATCTATATCCAATCTAGTAAATGTTGAAAATGTTACCACAGAAGCTTACTTGCCTCCCATTGTGCAGGCCCCAAGGTGTAAAAGCCTGGTCTCTGCTAACAGGCGAGGTAACCTTGGACAGATCTCTTATTCTTTCTTATCCTCAGTTTTCTCATGTGGATCCAACAGCCCTCCAGAGGACATGGCAGTGTCTAATGTTCTACATTCTCTGGATGGTGCTGACTAAGCCTCTTCATGATCAGGTGGGAATCACCAAGACCCTGGGAGTGGAGGGGAAATTGGAGAGGAAAATAGTTTTCAGACTGCTGAGCTGACTCAAAACAGGGAAAGGAAGTGACTATGGTTCTTGCTAGGCTCACTTCCTCCCCCACCACTGTGTTTCTTTTTAGGTCAGTCTTGAATAAATTTAGTTTGGGGTGGCTTGGTAATTCAAAGAATAGCTTAAGTGATCCTATCTATCTCTCATCAACTGTATAAAGAAGTGGCCTGACTACCGAGGGCTGTGGCCGTCTGTCCTCACTGTTGGTGCCCACTCGTTCTTGCTGTCTTTCCCCTTGACTACCTGAGGATCCTTATTACCCACAGACGTGCTTCTTAAACTCTCTGTGGGAGAGGACAAAGGTTTTTGCCTGCTATTTGTTTATTTTTAAATATGTTGCAGATTGATAGTTTGCAAAATAAAGTATAACTGAATGAAAGAAAAGACATAGAAAATATAAGTACAATTTTTTTTCATTTTAAAAAACTTTATTTTTGAGAAGTTCATACCTGAGTACTGTGTTTGCATTCTTTCCATCCCTCCCAATCCCCCTCCAGCTCTTCACATGTCCCTCCCATTTCCCCTCAATTTCTTGTCCCCCGATTATTATTACATATATATACATGCATTTATAAATACATAATGCACTGAGTCCATTGGTTAGTGCTCATATGTACGTGTGTTTAGGGCTACCTGCCTGAGATTAGATAACCTTTCAGGGAGCTAGTTCCTCAGCTCTTCTTCCTTAGCATCTGTGGATTGCCTATAGCTTCTTCTTGAGATGGGACCCCGTGAAATTAAGTATATCTGTGGATATGTGGTGGTTTTAATTTGTGTTTATTGGTGAATAACTTTATTGAACATTTTCATGTACCATCCATACATCTTCATCCATCTTCTTTTTAACTGTTTATTTCCTTATTTTTAAATATTTCCTTATTTTTAAAGTGGGTTGACATCTCATTGAGCTGTCTATATATTTTAGATAGAGGTCTTTTATGAGATATATGTTTTATAAATATTTTCCTTAAGAGTATAACTTGTCTTTTAATTTTCTAATGGTATTGTTTTATGAGTGAGGCACTTAATTCTGATGAAGTCTAATTTATATAAAAATATTTTTATCATTAGTACTTTTTGTGTTTAAGAAAAAGTTTAAATACTCTGACATTGGGAAGATTTTCTCTTATGTTTTGGTTCTCATTTAAAATTTTTATCTTTTAACATGTGTGTATGACATAAGATTGAGATTAATGTTCATGTTATTCTCTATGGATAGTTGGTTGCTAAACACAATAAAAACTCTATGATTTTTCCCACTGATGTAGTAGGTTTCTTTGACCCTGTATGTATGGGGCAATTTCTATCTCTGTTCTGTTTCATTATGCAATGTGTCTATCTTGACAGAGTATGTCAGTGTAGTAATTGCTGTAGTTGTATAATAAATCATTGGAGCCAATTCCACCTTGCACTCTTTAAAAAAATGAAATATTTTAATATTCTAAAACTTTATATTCACAGACATTTTAGAATCAGCTAGTCAGCTCCTGAAAAACTGTCTGTTGGGATTTTTATTAGGAGACTGTGTGTAGGTCATGGGGGGGGGTTACTTGACGTTTTTATGACATTCAGTTTTATAATCTATAAACCCGGGTTATTTTTCCACTTAGGTCCTTAACTTTTTCAGAAATGTTATTCAAAGTTCTGATCTTGTACATATTTTGCTAACTTTATCCTAAAATATTTCATGCTGCTCTGTAACTATAACTTATTTGCTCTTACTTTTAGTTTCCAAATGTCTCTGGATAGGCTACAGAAATGCAAAAAATTTTAATATAGTGACCTTGTATCCTGTAACCTTGCAAAGTGCACTTAATAGTTGATAGCTTTTGTGATTATTTATGTTTTCCAATATGTAATCATGTTTGCAAAGGAAGACCTTGTAGTCAGCACTGAGTGATGCTGTCAAAAGGAGACTGAGTCACCTTTGTGCCTTTAATTTTTTTAGCAAAACCCAAATCTTTGTCCTTTCTTTTTCTTTTTGAGACAGGGTCTCCCTGTAGCCCCAGCTGTCTTGGAACTCACTATGTAGACCAGGCTGGCCTTGAACTCACAGAGATACACCTGCCTCTGCCTCCCAAGTGTTGGGACTAAAAGCATGAGCCACCACACCCAGCTTGTCCTTTCTCTTATTTCCCTTGAATTTTGTTTGTTTCTCATTGGTTCTCTTGCTCTGTCAATCCCAGGTATTTGAAAAGTTAGATCAGAGACATGAGAGTTAGTGTCAAAAGTCTTTTACTATGACCCTTAGTACCCAGAATCGCAACTGTTTGTTTTCTCCATCTTCTACCTAACCACTGTCTCCACATATGAATCCCCTTGTGTCCTTAGAGCCTCGTGGTACTTCATACTCAAAGTTGTTTGATCGATATATATCAAATAAAGCAAGTATATATTAAGACCTAAAGAAATTTATTAAAAATTGGGCTTTCAACTATGTGTTGGGGGAAGATGCCCTTAATCTCAGCACTTGGGAAGTAGCAGGAAGTTCAAGGTCATCCTTAGCTACATAGCAAATTTGTGGCTAGCCTGGATTACATGAGATCTCTTCTCAAAAGGAAAAGTTAATTTGGTTGTTACTGTTTTTGTCTACCACATTTTCATTCAAAAACGTCATCTATTGGCACAGTCCTTCGACTAGCCTTTGTTCATTCGTTAGATCTATATTCCTAAATATAATTAATCTCTTCAAAATCATTTCAACTATAATACTGTTAGAGTCCATTTTGCAATCATAGTGCCTATTAAAACTGCAGATTCTCTCAGGTGAAAGCAGCGTTTGTCCCCATGGTCTTCATTCCTCATTCCAGTACCTCAGTTGGGACACACAGACAGGTCTGAAGTGCAGGTGTTGTTGAACTAGCAGCACTGGATCTCCCCTATCACTGCTGCCAGAGGGGTTAGACAAGGCACGGGAACACAGGGTTCTTCCAGCACTCAGATTAAGTTCATCTGGTTCATAGCCAGCTTTCTAAAATTAACTGTGGCTAAATCTGAGAAGGCTTTTAAAAAGACTTCAGTGCGAGTGCCCCACTAGGCCACCTGATGGGTCTAATCTTCCATGAAAGAAGAGCATTTCCACTGTGAAATGGCCATTCTACCTGTAACCAGTATCTGCTGGTCCTGACCTAGCAGAGTCCCAGAGACAATGCTGTCTAATCATTCCAAACTTTCAGTGCTTGTAGCCCCAGCCAGCCTGGAACTCACTATGTCAACCAGGCTAGCCTTGAACTCACAGAGATCTGTCTGCCTCTGCTTCCCCAGTGCTGGGATTAAAGACGTGAGCCACTACACCTGGCTATTTAGTGTTTTCTTGCCTAAATATTTCTATAGGCTCCCAGGGAAGTTGTATCTTGTCTATACTTGTAACTCCTTGCTGTCACTTGCTGGCATTGATGCTGAACTGTCAATTCATATCCTTAGGCCAAACCAGTTGACAGAGATGGCTCTCTACCCTCTTTAGTGTAAGGAAGAGGGGCACCTCATCTTCCCCCTTTGGTTTTGCTTGCTCTCAGGGATAGAGTTGTCTCAGTTCAAGTTTATGTGAACTTTAAACTCTTCTAACAAATAATGAGTCGGTTTTATTAGTTAGTTTCTATTTATTCGCTCAGGAATTATCAGGTGCGGGGAGTAAGGGGTAAAATGTTAATGTTTGAAAAAAATTACACATACGCTAATGAATAAATAAATTTCTCCAATTCTGCCTCTTTTTTTTTTGTCTTTTTGAATCAGGGTCTTCCTGTAGCCCCAACTGTCCTAGAACTCACTATGTAGACCAGGCTGGCCTCGAACTCACAAAGATCTGCCTGCCTCTGCCTCCCCAGTGCTGGGATTAAAGGTGTGCGTCACCACGCCTGGCTTTAATCCTGCATTTTTATGATCAGTAATTTTAATGACTTCCAGTGTGCCATTGAACGGTAACATTTCCATTTTCTAAATTATTTTCCAATTTTGAGCATACAGATTCATTCTTGTTTTTTGCTATTATATATAATGTTTCAAAAATCATTATATGTTAAGCTTTGCCTTATTTAAAAGTATTTTCCACGGGACTAGAGAGATGGCTCAGTGGTTAAGAGCTGTGGCTTTTCTTGCAGAGAACTCAGGTTCTGTGGCTTCTCTTGCAGAGAACTCAGGTTCAATTCCCAGCATGTGCATGGTGGCTAACAACCTTCTGTAACTCCAGTTTCAGGGATCCAACACCCTCTTCTGACCTCTGTGGGCTTTGCACAACACAGGTGCACTTATATACATGCAGGCAATACATTCATACACGTAAAATAAAATAAAAATAATAAAAACTATAAAAAAGTATTTTCCTAGGGTAGACTCTTAGAACTAGAATGTGTAGGTCTAATACTTGGACACTTCTTCAGGCAGATCACCTAACTGGTTGAAGGCAGGTCAATTCAGAGAGCAATAAGTTCCCAGTTGTTAGTATGTAGGTATTACTTATCCCTAATACCCAAGGCCATGAAAATGAAACCAAAGATTACAAGATTATGTTAGTGAGCAAATGACAGAGAGCGTTAAAACCAGCCTATGGGGTAAAGTTCATACCAATGTCTTACTTCCAGGCCTGCCACTGATATGTTTTGGAGACTCAAATTTTTGTTACAGACTTCTATTCTCTAGGAAGGGATAGATGAGGTGAGTCTTGGGCATGTGTTTCCTTACAGCATCCACCAGTTGAGGAGCAAAGTGTCAGAGGAGCATGATGTTCTTAAGAAGAAAGAGATGGAGTTGGGGCCCAAAGCTTCCCATGGCTATGGAGGTCGGTTTGGAGTGGAAAGAGACCGCATGGACAAGGTGGGTAGAAAGGGAGAGATCTGCTTAAAAAAACAGAATGAAAACCAAATTGATTCATGTGTTGGTGTTTTGTTTTAAAACCTGTTCAAAGTACATCATTGGGGCTTTAAAGTAGAATGTCCAAATGTTATTTGTATCAATTTTTTCCTGATCTCAACGTATAAGATATAGCTGGCAGAGTCAGGATATTAGAACAGCTGGCCTGTTGCAGCCCTGGGTGTATTATAACTCCTACACTGAGGAATCAGCCCCAGTGGACAAGGAAAAAAATAGGTTTTTTTCCTTGAAAAAAATCTTTAAAAAGATTCAAAAGTAGAATCATTTGTTGCCTTTACATGCTTATATTTTGTGTCTATATTATAATTTTTAGTCTTTACTATCTTTAGTGATTTGTGTGTTTGTTTGTGTGTGATGTGTGCACATGTATGTGTGGGTATGTGCATATGCAGAGGCCAGAGCAGGTTGTTGGGTGTCCTTCTCTATTGCTCCCTGCCTTCTTGCCTTGAGATAGGGTCTCTTACTGAATTGGAATCTCACTATTTCAGCTAGGCTTACTGGCCAGCGAGTTCTCAGGATCCACCCATCTCTAACCTGCTAATGCTGGGGTTACAGGTGTGTGCAGCCATGCTTGGCTTTTTAGGTGGGTACTGAGGGATCAAATTCAGAGCAAGCTCTCTTATCTACCAGTCATCTCACCAGCACTCTAGTGATCTTTTGTATACATATTATACATTGTATGTTGTAGAAAACTTCAAAATTTATTTCTGAACTTTGATGGTCAAAAGAAACAAAGATCTAGGCAAAAATACCTAGTTGACTGAGTGAAAAATTCACTCTCCATCACGGTATCTGACTAGTCCCCTTTGATCTCTTGCAAGCTTTGCTTGTTTCTGTTTTGCTGCACAGTGCCCTTATCTGAGCTCACCTTTTTTTTTTTCTTTAGGGTTAAGCACTGCTCCCACTATCTCTTCTTTATTCTCTGCCTTCCAGTGCATTCTCGGAGGTTTCTGAGCAATGGGTCTCTAGTGATATTGAAAAGGAATCTGGGATGTGCAAGGCTCTGGAGCAAACTACTGCACAATCTCGTCATAGGTTCCTGGCATCCAAAATGGAATTTCTTGCATTCTTATATCCATTTTTCATCTCTGTCTTTTTAAGTTATTTTGGTCTTCACTCACTCCATTCTTGATTTCTCCAGAGTGCTGTGGGTCATGAGTATGTCGCTGAAGTGGAGAAACACTCTTCTCAGACTGACGCTGCCAGAGGCTTTGGTGGCAAATATGGAGTTGAGAGGGACAGGGCAGACAAGGTAAGTGACAACTTTCTTTCCAACAGTCCTGAATGTAGGGCATGCTTTTAGGTGAAAGACAGGACTGTGGATACCATTAGTGTCTGGCACTGGCACTGAGGTAGGACAGCTGTCATGGCCTCCAGCAGCAGGTTCACATGCTGAGCATTAAAGTGTTCATTTAACTTTGGCAGGGTGGGGTTGCAGTTCAGCTCTTGCCTAGCACAGGAGAACCCTGACATTCACCAGCACTGCACTCAGTCAATCAGTAAGGCAAAGATTCTGGAACTCTAAATAAGAATCCCTCAATTCATTCATTTTTCTCTGCATGCAGAGAGAAGGGAGAGAATTTCCAACGTAACCAAATCAGACAATTAATTAGGATGACAATGCTTTAAGAAGGTAAAATTTAACAATAATCTCTGAAGTTGGGGTGTTTATAGAGACTCCTTTGTACAAAAGGATAGCTTTTTTTTTTTTTTTTTTTTTTTTTTTTTTAACGGAGTCTTACTATGTAGCCCTGGCTGGCCTGGAACTCATAGAGATTTACATGCCTCTGCCTCCTAAGTACTAGGAATAAAGGTGTTTGCCACCATGCCCAGCCAAAAGAATAGTTTTAAAGAGAGACAGAGACAGAGACAGAGATATAAAGACACAGAGAGAGAAAGAGAGAGAGAGAGAGAGAGAGAGAGAGAGAGAGAGAGAGAACCCAGTACTGAGTGTACACAGTAGGAGAGAATAAGTCTGGCAGTTCTTTGATGCTTCAAGTTCTACATCTTATGAAATTAGATCCTGAATCCTCTTTCATGCCATAGGTTGGGATTGGGGATTCTTCGCCAGGAGGGGGTGGATGTCACACCTGGCTGAGATATTTTTGTTTAAAGTTATCAGCAGTTGATTAGCTGTGTGGATTCAGTCCTACCCAAGTGCTAGAATGTTAGTTGTTTGCACGGTAGGGGAAAATAAACCCAAAACAAAACCAAGAAAGTTCAAAACATGCTGTAAACGAAGAAAAAACATGGGAACACTTTTTAAAGACAATAGTGTCATATAATGTCACGTGGAGCATATAAGGTTCTATGATCCCTTATTGGTAGTTGTCACTTCACAAACCACAGATTGTATTATCTAAGCAGTCTGTGTATCATGGATGTAAATTAAGAAACAAAATCTAGCAGCTGGAGGTGTAGTTCAGTTGGTAGAGCACGTGCCGTCCATGCAGGATCTCTAGCACATCATAAAACAGGTGTGATACATGGCACATGCTTGTAATCCCAGCACTAGGGAGGCAGAAGCAGGAAGATCAGAACTTTCAAGTCATTCTTGGCTACACAGGGAGTTTGACAGCCTTCAATAGTCAGGAGACCATGTCAGAGAGAGAGAGAGAGCACTTTCAAGTCATTCTTGGCTACACAGGGAGTTTGACAGCCTTCAATAGTCAGGAGACCGAGAGAGAGAGAGAGAGAGAGAGAGAGAGAGAGAGAGAGAATTTACCTCTTAAGATGTAAAACTTGCTTAGGTTCCTAGTTACTGAGTAAATGGGGATTCTGCTCCCATGCTACATTATGTCTTTGTCAGTTTACCCAGTCTTAGGGTCAGTCAGGATTCGATCCTGTCAAAATCTGCATCTTGCATCCCTGTGCTTCCATGCTGAGCAATGAGAGAGAAAAGGAACACTACAATTAACTGGGAACAGGCTAAACATCCTACACAGGGACAGAGTGCGTTTATTCACAAGGCTGTCTTCTACCTATTATCTCATCATAGTTTTGTAAGGCTCATTTGGGGAAAAAAGAAAAGTGCTGATTTCTTGAGCAACTCAGTTCAGACACTATGTATACCTCGTTCCTTTTAGCTGTCATTTTATTCCAAATGAAGAGAGAGCATGTCTCTCTATTTGCCATTGAGGTGGGTAAAGCAGGTATGCCTCTTTTCATTTTATATTTAAAGAGACCAATGTTTGATAATATGAAAGAACATGCCTAAAGCTAAACTGCTATGAATGAGGGAGGTGGGTTTGAGTCTAGAATGGTCTATGTCCAGAGCCCATTTGGATTGTAACACACTGCCTGATACCAGCCTTTCAGGATGCTACATTTCTACATTAAACCACTAACCTAGTTGCGGGTCCCTAAAACTGCTTCTGGAGCTGAGATGAAGTAAGGGTGAGTCAGAGAGGGAGGAAGTGGACAGCTGTGACTAACCAGTTCTCTTTCCCTGTCTCTGCAGTCAGCAGTGGGCTTTGATTACAAAGGAGAAGTGGAGAAGCACACGTCTCAGAAAGGCAAGGACCCTGCACCTCTACTTCAGCTATTTGACTGGCGAGGTTCCTCTGACACCTACCATCTAGCAGTTTCCATGGGCTCCCTAGGACTCAGCTCCTCACTGCACTGCCACTTTTCAGTCCCAGTGTGGGCTTGCTTCTTTTTTTCTCTACTTTGTTCAACGAGATTGATCAAGGTCTGGCTAATCCTTTTTTCCCCCTATAATGGGTTGAAAATAAGGTATTCTCTTCCTTTGTTCTAGAATTTAAAATCTTTACATTTTAACATGCATCTTTGACTTAAATTAAAAGTTGATCACTATGTCTTTGTGAATAATAAAGGAAACAAATATTTTAGGGTTCTAATTTGCCTTCAATTACTGTGACAAAACACTCTGACCAATACCAACTTGGGAGAGTTTATTTGGCTTACATATCTCAGGTCACAGTTCATCAGTAAGGTAGGAACCCAGAGCAGGAACCTGGAAGCAGGAGCTGAAGCAGAGGCCATGGAGGAACGCTGCTTACTGGCTTGCTCCTTTGGCCTATGCCCAACCTTCTTTCTTTCTTTTATTTTTAAAAAATATTTTATTTATTATTTTTATCTTATGTGTATGAGTATATTGCCTGCATATGTGTTAAGTGCACCCGTGTCATGCAATGCCCACAGAGGTCAGAAGAGGGCATCGGATCCCCTGGAACAGTTTTTAGCTGCCATGTGGGTGCTGGGAATCGAACTCCAGTAGTCTGCAAAAGCAGTCAGTGCTCTTAACCGCTGAGCCATCCCTCTAGCCCCCAACCTGCTTTGTTTTTTAAAAAATATTTTATTTATTATTTTTATTTTATGTGTATGAGTGTATTGCCTGCATGTAGGTGAGTGCACCCATGTCGTGCAATGCTGCAGAGGTCAGAAGAGGGCTTCAGATTCCCCTGGAACTGGAGTTAAGGATGGTTTGTAGCCACCATGTGGGTGCTGGGAATCAAACCCAGTCCTCTGCAAGAACAGTCAGTGCTCTTAACCATTGAGCTGTCTCTCCAGCCCCCTAACCTACTTTCTTATACAACAAGGGACCACCTGTCCAGGAGTGGCACCACCCACAGTGGCCTGGGCCCCCCCATATCACTCAACAATCAAGAAAATGCCTCACAGACAAGGCTACCAGCCAGTCCAATGGAGGAAATTCCCCAATTGAGGCTCCCTCAACCCAGTGGTGTCAAGTTGTCAACTAAAGCTATCCAGCACATTTAGATGCATTATTTCTGCCTTCTATCCTATTGCTGTCCATTAGATTGCTTATATAGGTTTTAAAACTGATAAAATTTAATCATTATTAGTGAATGCTTTTTAAATTGAATAACAGTTGCCAATTTATTAATTATATTGCTATTTATCACATTTCATTGATTCTTCTTACTGTTTCTATTTCCTTCTGGCTGGCCTGGAAATTCTCATGTAGACCAGATCTCAAACACAGAGCTTCCCCTGTCTCTGACTCCTGATGCTGGGATTAAAGGCAATCAGCCTTGACAATTCTTTTATTGAGTCTATGAAGGAATTCCCAGTCCCTGAATAGTGTACTTTGTACTGTTCTTCATCACCGTTTTCATTATTTTGAAGATATCACTGTCTTGAGCTCTTTCTTGTATCAGGCCAATTATTTTTTTTTTTGAGACAGGGTCTCCTTGTAGCCCCCAGGACAAATTTGGCCTTGAACTCACAGAGATCCGCCTGACCTCTGCCACCACACCCAGCCCATATCTTTCTTCTTTAAAAAAAAAAAATATATATATTAAGCCAGGTCTGATGACACCAGCCTGTAATTTCAGCTACTTGAAAGACTGAGGTAAGAGGATTGCGAGTTCAAGGCCAGCCTGGGCTACCAAGTGAGTTAAGACCAGCTTGGACAATTTAATGAGAAGCTGTCTCAAAATTTAAAATATCAAAGAAAGTACTGGGAATGTAACTTAGCCACAGAGCACTTGCCTAGTGTGTATGAGGCCCTAGGCACAGGGTTTCTGTTTGGTCTCTGATAGTCTATACCTTTATCAGATTACTCATGGATTTTATGTCTGTTTTATCATCTCACCTGAGACCCATGGCTTCTCTGACACCAGACACGCCCTCCATTATGAACGCTAGCAGGCATTGTTCCCCTTGAATGTGCCTTTCTTCTCCTTCTGGGACTCCTGTGAGCTGTATATTAGACCTTTCACTCTTCTCAGTGTCTCTGAGGTTTTTTTCCTTCTCTATGTCTATGTTTTTATCTTCCTGCGCTGCATTCTGGATACTTCTCTTGGATCTTTATGAAGTTCAATGTCTTCTTATAGCTCTAGCTAATTATGATTTAAACTGTCCATTAAAATTTGAACTTTATGATCTTTGTACCTCTGTAAGTTTCCTTTGGGTCTATTGTATCTCTGCTGCTCCTTTTCCCATAATGTCTTATTGTTTTCATTGCTGTCTCTGCCTAAATTATGCTAAACATATTTGCTATATAGTTTCTTTCATATTTTATATGATTTACAATTCTTAGGGGAACAAATTCATGTACTTGGTTAATTTACTCCTCTCACCTTTCATTATTTCTTTCATGGTTTGTAATTTTTGTTTGTGAACTTATTTCAGTGACAAAGAATGCTATTTCCTTTATAGGAGTTTCTTATATTGTGACTTGAGTACAGAGAATTTTGCTTATTTTTGGCTGAGTCCAAGAGCTACTAATAGTAAAGGATAATTTAAATTTAATTTTTTTTCCTTATTGAGTGCAATTTCTTCACAAGATATAAGCATATTCTGTATTTCTTAATTATAATATATTATGCTTTTTAAGGAGTTAGCCTATTTTGCCTACTTAGTCCAATTTATTGTCATAAATTTACCTATTGAATTCTCTCATTTTCTTGTTAAACTTGGTAAGACTTGTCGTGGTACTAATATACTCACTTTTATCTCTGATATAATTGTTTTATTTTTCTTTTAAATTGTTCTTGCTAGAGGTCATACATTTTATTATTCTTTTCAAAGAACTTTTAGCTTTGCTAATTTTCTTAATTGTTTACCCGTCTTAAAATATGTATTGGGCCAGATGTGGTAACACACACCTTTCATCCCAGCACTTGGGAGGCAGAGGCAGGCAGAGCTCTGTGAGATGGCGGTCAGCCTGTTCTACATAGCAATTTCCAACTGGGGCTACAGGGAGACCCTCTCTCAAAAAGACAAAAAAATGTATTGGGTTTTTGCTCTTTAATATCTTTTCTCCTTAATGTGAGTTTAGTTTTTTCTAGCTTTAAAAAAATATTTTATTTATTATTTTTATTTTATGTGTATGAGTGTATTGCCTGCATGTATGTGAGTGCACCCGTGTTGTGCAATGCCGTGGAGGTCAGAAGAGGGCTTCGGATTCCCCTGGAACTGGAGTTAAGGACGGTTCGTAGCCACCATGTGGGTGCTGGAAATCTAAACAATTGATTTTTTTCTTTCTTTCCAATGTGAGGAAACATTTCTCTCTCGGCTTAGGCTATACTCCACAAATGATATCTGTATTTTAACTTTTATTAAGTATAAGACATTTTCTAATTTTCCTAATGTTCCTAGGGATTGTTTCTTTGACCTATAAGTTATTTGAAAGTATACATTTTTATTTCTTAAGCATTGAGGAAAAATCATCATACGCATCCTTTCCTCAAAGAAGAGAGAATGGAGAAAGATCTTCTTGTCTTAGGATGGAAGTGAGGAAGAGGAGGGAAGGAGTCGGGGGTGTTAGTTTAACTCCTGTCCATCTGAGCCATGCTCCCTTCCCCACTCTTTCACTCTGCAGCTGGACCTTTCCTTAGCACTTTCCTGTGGGCCAAGACTGGACTCTCATGGCTTCCCCTTCCATTGTAGATTACTCTCATGGCTTTGGCGGCCGTTATGGGGTAGAGAAGGATAAACGAGACAAAGCAGCTCTGGGATATGACTACAAGGGAGAGACGGAGAAGCACGAGTCTCAGAGAGGTGAGTTGGGTTGGGAGGAGGGGGGTTACAGGGTAGCACAGGACCATCCTTCCTTCCTTTCTGGAAGCTGGTCCAGGGGCCCCAGCGAACAGAGGGTAGAAGAGAGGCAGAGGGAGTAAAGAGGAAGCAGAGCACGCAGGTGGGTGAGGGGAGTGAGCAGGAGTGGTGAGGAAAGCTGGGTTGGGGGCAGGACAGAGGAGGGGGCAAGGAGAAAGGGTGTTGGGGAAGGAGTGGAACCAGGCTGGATGATAGGCACTCAGTGGCTTGGTGTGAGCCTCACAAGCCAGACAGCCTTACAGAGGACAGAGCAGTCTACCTCTTCCCTGGGACATAGCAGGTCTGGCTGGAGGGCTCTCTTTATTTTTCCCAATTTATTTCTTTGTATTTTTCCTTTGCTGTCATTCCTCTTATGCTTACCTCTTTCCACCTCTTTCTTCTCCATTCTCTCCCAAGTTTTTCTCCCCACCCTTTTCCCTTTCTTCCCATCATTCATGCCTCTCCCTGACCTCTGATGCTTACATATCCTTTATTTCTCTGTCTTCATATTCCCGTCTCCTGGTCCACTGTTCCTCTCCCCACCCATTCCCAGCATTCTAATCTCCTGTTTTCACTCCCAGAACTTTCTGTCTTGCAGATTATGCCAAGGGTTTTGGTGGTCAGTATGGAATCCAGAAAGACCGAGTAGATAAGGTAAAGTCAGGACACCAATGTCTCAAGAAGCATTCTCTAGGGCTAGGGAGGTGGACAGAGAATAGCCAGAGATGGGAGAAGCCAGGGGAAGGATGGAACCTGGCACTGGGTCCTGCACCTGTCCAGGATAAGCACCTGTCATGCTTATCTCATTGATGGTCTTTAGTACCCAAGGGACATGAATTCCACAGCCTCAGGTTTAACTGAGGGAAGTAAAGTGACAGAGAGACAGAGGGAAGAGACAGCACCCAGGGAAGGGCTCTGTCAGATGTGGAATTTCAGGAGCCTCTTGGCATTGCTTAGCCCCATCTTAAGTCTCTTCCTGCTCCATGCCACAATCCTCCTGTACACTAGCTTCTCTTCCTGCATTGGCCAGTGCCTTGCTACATGATGGGTTAGCTGGGCTTGAAAACATGAGGTTCTAAGTCCACTGAGCTTTCAAAAGGGGAACTGTGCTCACCAATAGAATCCTTTACTCTTTTCTCTGTCACCAAACAATATGGAGAACCCAGTCCAACTATTGTTCACCAAATGGTTAAGAATACCTCCTAGGGTGGCCCAAGCCCCAATACTGGCTTCAGGGTCACTGTCACCCCACCATCCCCACACTACACACGCTGTTATCCTACCTGCAGAGTGCTGTTGGCTTTGATGAAATGGAAGCTCCAACCACAGCTTATAAGAAGACGACACCCATAGAAGCTGGTGAGTCGTCATGGTTCTCTTCTCTCTGGCCCTCAGTGTCCTTTCTTTTCTGGCCTGCCCTCCTCCTCAGTCTATTTCTCCTGTGAAGAATGACCCAGGAGAAGAGATGCCTACCCTCATATTTCCAGATACTGTCTCCTAGTAAATCCAGGCCAACTGAATGGAAAGGGGATGACTTTAGGAAAGGAGCTGGGGGCCGAGACAGAGAGGAAAGAGTGGGGATCTCCGGATGGAGAAGGCAATGATGGTAGGTAGAGGCATAAAGAATGTGCACAGGGAAGGATGCTGCTTAGGAATCAAGGCTTGTAATTTTGAAAGGACAAGAATCTAAGGTTACACAGTCTGGTTATATTGCTGTGGCTCTGTTACCAGGTTATGGTTCGGTTTGTTTTCTTTGTCAATTAAAGAATTAGAAGGCAGAAAAAAATGTCAGACGTAGAAGGCTTTATTAAGGCAAAGAATCTCAGATACACACATTCATACAGAGAGAGAAGCTCTCCACAAGTGGGGACCTAGAAACTGAAAAATCCAAAGCCCTCTGGGGAGAATCTGGGTTTTCTTTTTTTAGGAGTTTTAGTGGTTTTCCCCTCCCCTGATTTGGGATTGGTCAGATTACACAAAGAAAAGAAGGCTGATAGGTTGATGGCTTCAAATGAAGAGGTGTCCAGGTCAGGCCTTGGTCTTATCTGAATTAGTTTGGACTAGTCAGCCAGAAAGCGAACCTTGCTGGCTAGAGGGGGAGTCCCCAGACTTTTGTCTCAGACCAAGAAGAAACAGGAAGTGTGCCATCTTTCTTATTTAGTGCCTTACACTGTAGAATCTGGGCTTCAGTGCCATACCATCTTCATATAATCCCCTGTTGCTCTCTTACCACCTCTCACCACCTCTGTGCCTTCCCCTCCATGAGTCATAGTCCCATCTTTCCTCCTCCTGCATATTTAACTGATTCCTCTCCTTTCTTCAGGCACCATCCCTTTCTCTTTACTTATAATCCAAGACAACCCTAATTTTTCTGGTCTGTGTCTACAGCTTCCAGTGGTGCCCGTGGGCTAAAAGCAAAATTTGAGTCCATGGCTGAGGAGAAAAGAAAACGAGAGGAAGAGGAGAAGGCACAGCAAATGGTCAGACAGCAACAGGAGCGAAAGGCTGTGGTAAAGATGAGCCGTGAGGCCCAACAGCCTCCCATGCCTGTGGAAGAGCCAGCAGCACCAGCCCCACTGCCCAACAAGATCTCCTCAGAGGTAATGCCTGAGCCTCGAGGGTCCAGGATCTCTTACCCAGACAGGAGTCTTGGGGCCCAAGTAATTGGCAGAAAATAAGGCAAAGGTGTTCCTTGTGTTAAGCAGTGTCTGTCGTCCTGGTCTTTGGGAAGAGTTGGTTTGTATAATTGGGCCCCATGTACCAGAAGGTCAAGAAAAGGACAACAAAAATCCCAAGATTTACAGAATCCAACAGAAGTCACCCGCTATGGCAGTTAGTAATTGCTGTGGGAAATAAGGAAGAAGGAACCATTACTTCCAGTATGCTGCCCATCTTGAGGGATGTGTGTCATTGGATTGGCAGAAAGGGAGGGTGGTTCTTGGTAAATATGAGAGAGAACATGGCACGCAGGAAGAGAGTTACTACAGAGATGCCTCATTCTTTAGGCCTGGCCTCCAGTAGAGAGTCGTTCACTACCAGAGCCTGAGCCTGTGAGAACCAGCAGACAACATCCTGTGCCCTCCCTTCCCATGAGACAGAATCCCCTGCAGAATCCCTTGGAGGTAAGCAGAAACCCCAGAGATTCTCTGCCCCAGCCCACATCATCTCATATCTGAGGGAGGTGGGGTGTATAGAGTGGCCAATGCTCCTGCCTTGTCTGTTCTGGTCTTAGCACTGAAAATCCTGTGTTCTAGAAACTCACCAGTTCTGGACAAACTTGGACAGATGATTCTCCTAGATGTGGTATCCCAACAGTGTGGTTTTGCTTTGATGTTCTCCTGGTTTTCCAAAGACTGACTTGTTTTCCATTACCCTACTGTCACACATTGAGTCATTTCTGTGTTGATGATTTGAGGGAGTGGATGTTTTAGGAGGCTGAGGAATGAGGATGGGTGACAGAGGAGAGGCTGGTAGATGGCAGAGAAGAAGTTGGGTAGTGAATGTAGTATTAGCAGCCTCATTGAGCCATTGTTGAATCCTCTTGGTCTACACTGCCTCTCCTCAGGACAATGAGGAGCCCCCAGCTCTGCCCCCTAGGACCCCAGAAGGCTTCCAAGTGATAGAAGAGCCAGTGTATGAAGCAGCACCTGAGCCTGAGCCTGAGCCTGAGCCTGAGCCTGAGCCTGAGAATGACTATGAGGATGTTGGGGAGATAGACAAACAGGACGATGAAGCAGAGGGGGACTATGAAGATGTGCTAGAGCCTGAGGATACCCCGTTTCCATCTTCACAGGCTGGTGAGTGGGGTGACTAGGGAGGTAGAGAAGCAGCTCCTGAATTTGGTCAGGTCTAGGGGAGTGGAGGAGGAGGAGGAAGAGGAGGAAGAGGGGGAAGAAGAGGTATCTTCCCTCTCTGCCCAGCAGGATGTTTGCCTTCTCTGTGTTGATGAGATGTTTATATTTCTCATTATGCAGGATTGTCAGCTGGGGCTGGTAGCACAGAGACCTCAGCTGTAGCCCTGTATGATTACCAAGGAGGTAGGTTTGAAGCTACCTGAAGGACCTGGTGCCTGGTGGCCCCTGATACATGGAAAAGGGGAGGATTATGGGGGTAAAGGAAGGACCCAGCTTGGCATCAAGGGGAAGACCAGGCTTATTTCCTTCCCTGCGGGTTAGAGTGGGCACAGGGCACAGAGGGATTCCTGTTTGTTCATCCTAATGACCCTTCAACTTCCTCTGCAGAGGGTAGTGACGAACTTTCCTTTGATCCTGATGACATCATCACTGATATTGAGATGGTGGATGAAGGCTGGTGGCGGGGCCGTTGCCACGGTCACTTTGGACTCTTCCCTGCAAATTATGTCAAGCTCCTCTAGTGACCAGCCCCATTGTCTTCCGCTACTGTGACTTCCCATGTCCAAAGTGACTCTGCCTTCATTCCCGCCACATTTTCTGCTGCAAGCACCTAACAGGGTGTCATGGGCTGCATGAGGTTCTAACAGACTTCCCTCCCCTGCTTCCCTCAGGGTCTACTCTACCCTGGATTAGCTCATGGATGTTCATTTTGTGGTCTTGCCTCCTTCACCAACACCCAGCTTTGCTCTCCTCCCTCGTGAGCCCTGGGATCCACCATATTCTAGCCTGGAAGGGAAGCTCTAGAATGCCTGGTTTGCCAATTGTACTTTTACCCACGTTTCTTCCCTTAAGAGACATATTGGAACTGTCTTTCTGTTCAGTCCTAAAACTGAAAATAAAGTGAGACTATGGCTGACCTTTGTGCTGAGATAAATGGTGCTTTTAGTGCTGCCCTCCGACCCTACTCGTCTGGCTCTAACCCTCCATCCCTCTTTCAGATCCACCCAGCAGGCTCTCTCTTACCTCTGCCTTGGTGATGTGGTGGGTAGGATGAGGTGGTTTCAGAAGACTCCTTCTTACCACAGCCTAAACCCTGTACCCCAAGTGCCAGGAGCTAGGTCTTTTCTTTTGGCTGTACCTTAAATCCAGTCCACAACAGACCAGCCTGTGAATGACAGCAAGGTGGAATAAAAGGCTCAGGTGGCATCTGGATTAAGGTAGTTCGGCTCAGTTTCTACTGGCTTTAGCAGTTGTATGAGGTCAGCTACCTGCCTAGGAGGAACAATCACATACTTTCAGAACATGCTAATTATGTGTGCCGTGGTGGTGGTCGGGGGTGTTTGTAGACCAGAGGGCAACCTTAGGTGTCAGTTCTCAGGAACACCATCCCCCTCTTTTGAAACAGGGTCTCTTATTGGCCTGGAGCTCACCAATTAGGCTAGGCTGGTTGGCAGTGAGACCTGGGATCCTCTTGTCTCATCTCCCTACCACGGAGATAACAGGCAAGAGCCATCATGTCTCGCATTTCACGTGGGTTCTAGAGATCAAATGCAGGTTCTCATACTTCTGAGGCAAGGTTTACTGACTGAGCTATCTCTCCAGGCCCCTAACTCATGGTGATTCTTGAGGAAGAAGCATATATCAGAGGACTGGAAGTAGGAAAGGGAAGGTTGATTTAAAGAAAAGGCTAACACCAAAGGAGAACAAACTCGGGTGAGGCTGAAGAGAATATGAAGCGTGCTCAGGAAAGTCCAGGCTGATAGCTGGCCAGTTGAAAAGAATGTCCAGAAAAGAGGATGGTTGGAGAAAGTTCATGAGGCTTCTGTGTAGTCCAGGAGGGAAAAGAGTTGAAGACACTCAAGCAGCCACGGAAGGTAAAAAGTGACTCACCTCATACAGGGATGAGGGAGGCAAGGTGAGCTTATTCCATCCCCAGGGTACTGTGCTCAGCCTCAGCAAAGTCAGGGATGGGAGATCTTAAGTTACAATTGAGATAAAAGTCAGGGATTGAAGTAGGGAATCTTTGGTTGATAGGACACAGGTGCCTAAGCTGTTAGTAGTGTTAGATTCAGCTTTTAAAGATGGGAAAGGCAACGGAATCAAGGGGCTACAATTGGTGGCTAAGACCACAGTTGCTCCAGGGCCTCTTAGAGGTGGTGAGCTGCTTGGGTCTAGAGTGCTGCATACCTCAGGGATATCATTGGGTTTTCTTCAAGACACACATTGCATGGATTTTAATGATGACTTCTATGACTGCCAGTAAATCACTAGTCTGTCTCTTGTCCTAACTCAGAAGATTCACCCACTTAGCCTTTCAGAGTGCAAAGCATCTTTTATTTCCTCTTAGAGAGACATTTGGGCCTCTGGTATATCAAGATAAGGCACCATAGATACATAAAACTTTATTCACTTCAGTTTGATTTCACACCACTCATATATTATACCTGTTTAGTGCTGGGTGTTTTGATATATTTTTTATTCTCACCTCGCTTTTCATTTGTCTTTGTAAGACAAACTTCCATCCCAGGTCCCTGTGCATGGAGGCCACAGGTCCTTTCTGGCTCAGTTCTACAGCCCTCCCCATCCACATTCAGCTGCTTTCAGTCTCTAGACTGCTTTTCTCAGGGGTGATGCTCATCAAGGGCCCTGCTCATAGACGTCCTCCTGTCTGGGCTCTGTGGCTATGATACACTCCTCCTCTTCCTCCTCAGCTGCAGCCTCATCTGAAGCCACTCATAGCTGTCTTGATGATGTTCAGTCTTCTCTGTGCAATTGCATCTCCTTAGTTCAACTATCCATTGAATCCAAGCTCTCTGGAAAGGTCTCCTTTGACGCATCTGTTTTTCCCCCACAAAATGTGTTTATTTCTAGTGACCGGGGCATGCCTGGATTCCACTGGTTTCCTGTAACATAAACACTGAGCACCCTCATAAAATGTGTTCGAAGATGTCAATAAGATCTGGGGGAGGAAAGTGTGGCTGAAAGTGTGAGGTCAAGTGTGAGGGCATCCTGACTGCTCTCCTGGACGAGACTGCCTCCAGCGGTGCAGTTTTTGGACGCAGAACCCTTTCCCCTCCCCATTGCTCTTCAGCACTGGCTCCCCACCCCTAGCTCCTCATCCGTGTTCCCGGTAGTTTGTGTAGTCTGTGGATCTCACTTCCTTTCTTTTTCTAATAAGAAACCCTGAGAGGGCTTTGAGAACTTCATTCCTCTGTGTGGGAAGACCCGGATTCAAAACACAGAACTGATGTCTGGAGGCTCTGTTCTCTCTTCCCACCTTTGTGTTTAGCTGTTTCCAGTTACTCATCTTTGCCAAACAAAACTTTAGAGAACACTGTAGTTATAGTTTCAGGAAATGGTGACTTACAATAAATGGTGAAATACAAACCAAACAATAAAGATTAGGAAAACAGTATTGCGTTAACTAGTAGTACAAGAGGCACGCTATAGTGAAGAGTGAGCACACTTCTGGTCTGGGCTCTGCTGCCTTCTTGTTTGTTTGTTTTCTTGATTTGTTTTGGTTTTTTTGAGACAGAGTCTCCCTATACTTCTAACTGGCAGGAATTCACTATATAGACCAGGCTGGCCTCAATCTTACAGAGACCCGCCTGCCTTTGTTTCCCAAGTGCCACCATGCCTATCCTCTGCTAACTTCTTGATCCTTCTCAGAGACATCAACTATTTCATCACATCAGCTACTTCATCTACACCAGCTTTGAAGGTGATGAGAGAGAGAGAGAGAGACAGAGAGAGAGAGAGAGAAAGAGAGAGAGAGACCCAGGCAACAAGGTCACAGACTGGTGAGACCCCTTCTGTTGATTGAATTTTTTGTTCTCTGGTTCCCTGTGATGCCTGACTTCCCTTCCTTCTATTTTTCTATTTCTCACTTGCTGAGAATTTCTAGGATTGCTAGAAAATGACACCAGTTGAAGGAAGACAGATTTTAAACCAGACAAATTGCTTTCTGGGCTTCGGGTTTCATAAAAAGGACAGAGAGGATATATTCTTACATTGTAGCCCAAGGATGCAAAGCTATATCAGGTAAATCAGTCCATCTGGTTCCCAACTTAACTACCACGTATCTAAAACTTATTTTGTAAATAAGTAAAAGTTACATTAAATCATAGCTACTGTGAGAAGCTATGTGAGATAAGATTTTGCCACACTAAAAAGTAAGAGTATCCTAACTTACTGTCACTGGTATGCCATCCCTTAGAGTGGCAGTTCTCAATCAGGAGCTAGTTCTCAATCAGGGCTCCCAGAAGCCCTTAGACTCACCTTCATTTTAAAGATTTCCCTTTTTTCCTTCTTTTTTTTTTTTCTTTTGGTCTTTTGAGACAAGGTCTCCCTGTACCTGCAGCCCAGCTGTCCTAGAACTCACTATGTAGACCAGGCTGGCCTTGAACTCACAGAGATCCACCTGCCTCTGCCTCCCAAGTACTGAGATTAAAGGCATGAACCACCATACCCAACTAAGATTTTCTTTCTTTGTGTGGCTAAGTTTCTACACAACAGACTCTGTGAATTCATGACCATTCTGTGCTTTGGCCTGTGGTGTCCTTAAAACTGCTGTACTCATCCAGGGAAGGGGGCTCCATTCTGTTGGGCTGAGTCAGAACCACCTGGACTCAGAGACAGTGGAGTTACTAAAAGAAGTCCTGGACTTGTCTGTCAAGACAGACCACGCTCCAGAACCTGCCAGCTGCATGCTGTCTTCCCTGGGTAACCTGGGAGGTCACTGTTCCTCAGAACCTGTTCCTGCACTGCCTGTCCCAAGAACTTGAAGGTGGTTTGTAAACTAGAAAACCCATGTAAAATCCTAGGCTTGTGCTAGTGATGGAATTTCTTGGCTCTTTTATCAACTAAGAACTTGGGTTCATTTTTGAAATGGACTTAAGGTATGGTACTTATTTTCTCCCCAGACTGATCTATTTTGGGAAAAGGAAAAGAGGAAAGAAATAAGTCAAATATGTAGCACTACTGTATAAGCCATAGCTTGGAAAATGTTTCGGCCTAGTGTAGCTGCTGAGACTGGAAGGACTTTGTATGTCCCACACCCAGAGAAGCAGATATGCAAGTTCAGAAGGGCGTCCTCAACCACACTGTCCTACTTGACAGTGACTCTGAGAAGTCAAGATTAGCAATGTGAATCTTTAGTGTGTTTTCCCCATGTTCGGGCTCTGAAGGTGGACACTAAGCTCTCTCGGGCCTGCTCATGGGGCTGACACATGCTGGTCAAACGAATCGGATCAGTCCTGTGCTCCACGATGTTGAAAGGACAGGCCTTCAGGTGCTCGGACATGGAGGTGACTTCATTAAACTCCCAGCTCTTGATCTTGGAGAAGAGGCTGCTGAACTGCCAGATCTGCTGGGAAAGAGAAGCTCAAAGGTGAATTAATGCCATCAGTGGCTTCAGGCTGGCTGGGTCTGAACAGTACGTGAAATGCCTCTGCTCCCCTGTGCTTCCAGAGTGCTGTGGCTGCTGCAGAGCTTTGTCACTTCCTTTCCCTGCATCTGATGCCTAGCATCCCTCCCCAGTCTTCCCAGCCAGCTTTGTAGTTGTTTGTGATGACTGACACCAATCAGTTATTGACATGCACCCTCCCCAGCACTTCCACCGGCAACAGCAATTAGTCCTGGACACCAGTTCAAATCATGATGATTAGCACCAATGGGGCTTGGCTCCAGAACTTTTCTGAGGTTTCACAAATTAGGTTCTGCTTTTCCTTCTGTATTTGGACTGGAAAACTGTAGTCCTAGAACCTGCCTGCAGCTACCAGGGGCACCAAGGGAGAACTGTCTTAGAATGGGGCCAATATTGCAGAAGTAGAGGTAAGAAGAAGAAAGAACAAAGAAAAATGTCATTTTGAGCTGCTAGATTAAACCTTCCGTAAGGCCATTGCCTTTGGAATTTTTGTTATATGGATTAATAAATTCCTTATGACATTTATGCCACTTTAGATTCGTTTTCTAATGCTTAAAATTAAAGGCATCCTAACAAATAAGGGTCTTGTTAGAATAGGAACCCCAAAGAAGAGTTCCATGAGTCTGGCATCCAATAGCTCTGGTTTTCTACCTGGGATGTGATGGCAAAGTCACTAGTTTTAAGGTTGTGAGGGTAGGCATTCCGGTACCTTTCAGTCTCACTGTTCCACCCTCAGATTTGACCATTGGTCCTGGTAAGAAAATGTCCTGGGATTGGAGAGATGTCTTAGCAGTTAAGAGCACTGGCTGTTCCTGCAGAGGATCCAGGTTTGGTTCCCAGCAGCCACATGACAGCTAACAGCTGTTGTAACTCCTGTATGAGGGAATATGATGCCCTCTTCTGACCTCTGAAGGCATTGCACAACACAGGAGCACTTACCTACATGTAGGCAATATACTCATGCACATAAAATTAAAAAATAAATAAAAAATATTTTAAAAAGGGTTGGAGAGATGGCTCAGTGGTTAAGAACACTGGTTGTTCTTGAAGAAGTCCTGGGTTCGAATCCCAGCACCCACATGGCAGCTAACAACTGTCTGAAACTCCAGTTCCAGGGGATCCAACAGCCTCTTCTGTCCTTTGCAGGCATTGCACAACATGGGTGCACTTACCTACATGCAGGCAATACACTCAAACACATAAAATAAAAATAATAAATAAAATATAAAAAAGAAAAAAATTGAAAAAGAAAAATATTTATGAAATCTTAGAAATATCTATTTTATTTAAAAACCACTTTGATATAAGTATCTTTAGCCTCAATTAAATTCTCTTTATCCTTTTTCTGTAAGGAAATTAGTTGGTCCCAAATGATATCCATGAGTGGTCAGAAATCTTTTGAGTTGGGGGCAAATGTGAGTCAAAAAATAATGGGATTTGTAGTTTATAAATTAAATTACTGGCATCTGATTTTATAGACGATATGACCTAGTCTTAGTATCTTGAAGGCAAGACCAATACACATTGATCTCACCAATGTGTATCAGAACGTGGTTGGTTGGCAGTCAGGGTTTAACACATGGATGCAGGCCTAGGTACATAAGAGAGTCTTATAATTAATTTTCCAAGAAGACTGATTAAGGAATAATTAGTGGAAAATGTACGGGATGCTTTGGACATAATCAATAAAAATGGATGCAAACAACTCTAATTTCTCCCGGCAGTTTGTAAACATCCACCTATTAGGACAAACAGAACAGTTGTATTCATGACCTAAGTAGGCATCATATATTCAGAGTTCTTTGAGAAAGGATACCACAGGCACCTGGAATATGATGAATTAGGATTCTAACTTCTGTAGAAGTTATAATTCAGTTAAGAAAAGATGACTCAATCGAGAAAAAGAAGGTTTTACAGAAGAGTTTCTTTGATTTATACTGTAGTGTTTTATATTAAGTAAGCATTTCAGCCATTGGAAATCAATGGCCCAAACTCACATACAATTTCAAAATGAAAAGTGTTTTTAAAAGTCTATTGGCATGTGAGTGAAATGAAATTGTTGACCTATTATAGCAGAGTCCAAGCAAGGAACAAGTGGCACACTCAAACTAGGTAATGGGAAGAAAGTTTTAAAAGGAATGATTTACAAATAGGTGAGCAAGAAAGCCACAAAATGTAGGGCAGCAGCCAGAGTTAGTAACTTAAAGTTGCAGAGAGGAGAAGGAGGTTGGTCATGGGAATGAGTAATTGTGTGGAGCAAGCCGCCTAGTACAGCCACCTTTGGTGGAGGGACCCAGCCAGTTCTTAGTATCCTGAAGGGAGAAGGGTAAACATGCAGAGGTGAGGCCAGAAGAGCAGATCCTTCAGCACTGTTCCTTCCCTCACCACTGCTGCTGCTGCAACATTTCTACTGGATTAGCCCAACTAAAAGCTGGAGGACCAGTTCAGGCAGGTTGCAGAGATCAGCTTCTTGGGGACAGACCAGGTAGAGAAGAACAGAATGGAGCATTGTGTTTAAGTGGAAGATATTCAGCACATGTAAGCTGACAGCACCACCTCTACTGCTGTACATATATATTTTTTAAAAATATTTTATTATTTTTATTTTATGTTATGCATGTATTGCCTGCATGTAGGTGAGTGCACCAGCATCGTGCAATGCCCACAGAGGACAGAAGAGGCTGTCAGATCCTCTAGAACTGGAGTTACAGACAGTTGTTGGCTGCTGTGTGGGTGCTGGGATTGGAACCTGGGTCTTCTGCAAGAACAGTGTTCTTAACTGCTAAGCCATCTCTCCAGCCCCATGCTGTACATATATTTGTATTCTGTCTTTTCTGCTTGGCTGAACTCCTTGAATCAGCCCTACCTCCAGCAACTGTCCCAGTGCCTATACAGCACTTGTCCCAACTGCTGAATGAACAAATGCATAAACAAAGAAATGTTTACTTGCCTGTCTGTGGACTTTCCAGGAGGTGCCTCCATGAGAGTGTCTCTTCTTCTTCCATTGCAAAAGGACCATTCCTCTCTCTTGTAACAAAGTGGCACAAATATTCCTCATCAGCACTGACACCTGGGAGAGCTGGGACAGGCTGATGCTGTCCAGGAAGCCAGCAATGTACTGCAACACCTCCAGGGGAAGGCTGGTTAGAGAATTCTCGCTCTTCCCACCATGGCCTGAGAGATGGTTACTCTTCCTTCCCTCACTCAGTTCTGGAGCAACTTCTGGCTTGATGGCAAAGGTCTTAAGCTCCTGACTGTAGATCACTTTTGCCTTTTGCCCAGGAGGGCGGAAGTGGTTTTGAACAAATGTACATCCCAAGTAGGCCAGAGGGCATCGATGCTGGAACCAGCCGTTGAGACATGACTGAATGTCTGTGTGGACATTCTTGAAGTGCAGAGGAAACTCATCCCTCCTGAAGAATTTGCTACAGGTGAAAGTAAAGGCAGAGCTGCTTTTGTTATGTCTCCTGGTCACACACTCGCTGTGAAGCTCCACGTGCAGTCCCCCAGGGTTGGCAGTGCTTAGGAGGTCAGCCAACACAGTCTGTGAGGAAAACTGCTCTGGCTCAAAGTTGTATGTCTGGGTGGCAAGATCCATGAAAAGCCCATCAATACTCCTGGATTCAGAGATGACGTGACCTTTGAGTTCTCTTTCCAAAGCACACTGGAGGGTGGTCTTGATGAGATCAGATTTGGGCAGTTCCTCCACAGTCATGCCCAAATCTGAAGTGTCCACTGCCTTATGTTCACTTGGCCTGCACTTCAACATGGCATCCCCCAGGCGAGCTCGTTTTCCACAGTAGCTCACAGGAACTCTGAAGGTGTAAACAGTCTTCACTTCTTGAGCCTCGAGGTTGCCATAAACGAAGTCTCTCTCCTTTGGTGTACAAGCAGGCATTTGCCCGAAGTGAATGAGCATCCGCCCATTGTGCACGAGATACATGTTATAATCCTTTGCATCTACAGCTGTTTTCAGTCTTTCCAGAACACCATCCTGCCAGGGGGCAAGCCCTGTCATCTCCATGGGGGCGGGAGAGTCCTGCTGCTTCTGGCTTTCCTGTTCTCTCCCCTGGACAGCACTCTGGGCATCCGCCCTGCTAGCGACACAGGAACCCTGGTCTTCCCCAGCCTGGTTCCTGCCGCTGCCCTCACTCTTCCCAGAGGAACCTGTTAACACAGCGGCTGCATGCTCCTTGCTGAACATATTTTCCCACTTGCCGAACTTGGCCAGGTCCATCCCTTCCTTGGTTTTGGCCAGTGCTTCTCGCTCCTTCTGACTCAGCTCTATCATCTCCCCATTGGCCGCCTGCAGACAGCAGTGTGATACTGCCCTGGCATCCACTCCCCCCACCGCGCCACCCATCTGCTCCCAGTCGGCATCACCATTCACGGCTGGTTCTTCCTCGCTGGCATCTCTGGTCTCTGGGAAAAGCTCTACCATTTTCAAGGATCTGAAGAGAACCTTCTGGTCCTGAAGGGCCAGGGCTATGTCCAAACACTCCTCGCTGGGGATCTCTTTCATGATGTTCTCATGAAGGACGGTTTCTGAGTCTATGTTGGGCCAGCGGTTCCACTCCATGGAGCAGCAGACCACGCTGGCGGGGCACACCTGTAGGTGCTTGGCCAGCTTGTGGCGGGACATAGAGAGCGGGCAGCCGTACTCAGAGTTGAGGCAGGGAACCTGCTCCAGAGGGCAGAGGAGCGCGTGCTCTGCCTCTTTGCACATGTGGAAGGTCGCGCCACAGAGGAGGTGGCAGCTTATCACCAGGCAGGATACGCTGGGCTCCACAGGGACGTGGCAGTGGCGGTTGATGCATCCCTCACAATGCCTGTGCTGGCCGGGTGGGAGCCTGCGCGCCCGGCCCTGGACACAGCAAGGGCAGAGAGAAGACACGTGAGTGCTGGCAGAGCTGAATGCACACCTGAGGCTGAGCTTTGACTTATTTCCTGCCTGTGCACGACTTATGTTTGAAATAGAACCGAAAAAGGCTGATTGTGATGGACTGCAATGTTGATAACCTATTTTCAAGCTGTGGATGATGGGTGATTTGTTACCACATAGTTAATACTACGAATATGATTTTGACTTTGCTTTTTAAAAAGAATTTAAACATACTAGGGGATTTTTGTTTTTAGTTTTGAGACAGGGTCTCCCTTTAACTCCTACTGGCCTGGAGCTTGCTATATAAACTAGGCTGGTCTCAATCTCGCAGAGATCCACCTGCCTCTGCTTCTTGAGTGCTGGGATCAAAGGCATGTGCCCACTTGCCTGGCTAAACATAAACTAGGCTTTAAAAAATTAATTATTCCAGCCGGGCGTGGTGGCACACCCCTTTAATCCCAGCACTCGGGAGGCAGAGGCAGCGGGAGGCAGAGGCAGGCAGATCTCTGTGAATTCAAGGCCAGCCTGGTCTACATAGTGAGTTCCAGGATAGCTGGGGCTGCAGGGAGACCCTGTCTCAAAAAGACCAAAAAAAAAATTTAATTAATTCTTAACAATTCTTAATCCTATTGATCTCCAATTTACCAATATTTCCCATTATGCTCAATATTTTTGCATCCTATTTAAAAAATATCTACTTGGGTCTGGAGAGATGGGTCAGTGGTTAAGAGCACTGGCTGTTCTTGCAGAAGACCAGGGTTTGAATCCCAGCACCCACATGGGAGCTAACAACTGTCTGTAACTCCAGTTCCAGGGGATCCGACAGCCTCTTCTGACCTCCGCCAGCATTGCACGACCGGGGTGCACTTACCTACGTGTAGGCAATACACACATATACATAAAAACAATAAATAAAATATTTAAAGAACTACTTAAGATCAGGAAGATACTCATTTATATAACTTCTGGAGACTATTTGTTTCAAATTTTCTCATTTATTTTTAAAACTATTTTGAGTATTTTACAAAAATATTTTATTCATAGCCGCCATGTGGGTGCTGGAAATCGAACCCGGGTCCTCTGCAAGAGCAGTCAGGGCTCTTAACCGCTAAGCCGTCTCTCCAGCCCCTTAAAACTATTTTATGTATTATTTTCATTTTTATGTGTATGAGTGTACTGCCCACATGTATGTAAGTACAATGCCTGAGAAGGCCAGAAGAGAGCATCAGATTCTTCTGGAACTAGAGTTTCAGATGGTTGTTAGCCACCATATGGGTGATGGGAATTGAACCCAGGTCCTCTGCAAGAGCAGCCAGTGGTCTTAACCACTGAGACAGCTCTCCAACCCTTAAATTTCTCATTTAAACAATAAGGTATCTGGATTATATATTTTGTATTATATATATTGTATATTTTGTAGTATAGGTATCAAAAGTTTCACCCATATAGATAGCCAATAAATTAATCCAATACCAGAACAATTACTTTCTTCATAATGACAGTGGAATGTCCCAGAATATGGGTGTGCTGTTCTTTACCTAGCCAACTATTTCCAGGGGTCTTCTGGGATCATAGGGTCAAGTCCAGTTTTGCTTACACCTTCATCTCCAGCATCTAACACTGGGCATGGGTCATCATAGATACTAGTAACACCTGCTAAACAGTGGGACACAGTGGCATGCCTTTAATCCCAGCACTAAAAAGACAGAGGAAAACAGGTCTCTGTGAGTTCAAGGCTAGCTTGGTCTACGAAGTAAGACCCTATCTCAAAAACAAAACAAAAACAAACAATAAAACAGCACCAAAACCTCTTGCTTAATAAAGGAATTATTAGTCATGTAAATTATTGTTGCCATTTTATGTTTCATTTTTACTTCTGAAAATTTTCATTGGCACAGTAAAATTTCATTGGCACAGTATAATTCATTACATATATTAAATGTATAATTATCACTTTTGAGTAATTAACATTTCCATCTCATTTATTATTTCTATGTGTTGAGAAATTTATTTTTAAATTCTCATTAAAGATCTCTGCTTATAAATCTTTGTCAGCTTTCCTCTTAATTGGTGTTCATTTCTTGTTAATAAATGCCATCAAACCATACAGACACATCTACAGCCACTTGCTTGGGCTAAATAGAGTTAGACTTGGCCCTCTGAAGAGTGAAGCTCCAACACACAGCAGATACTTACCATAGCTTCCAAACTTCTTATTCTTAACTCTAGGTGAAAATATGAAAATATGAATTATTAGTATTAGAATTAGTATTATAAAAGTATTACAGTTATTTATTATGACCAAGATCCAAAGAGACTTCACATGGTCTCTCATTTCATTCTTCTCACTTAGAGGGATTGCCCCCACTTTACAGTCAAGAGAATGGAAGCTTGAGAAGTTAGGTAACTCATCCAAGGTCACACTAAGTATGGAATCAGGTTTCCAACCCAGGCCATCCTGGCCCAGGCTCTTCACTGGCCCACACTGCCTCTGATGGGGCCTATTACCCACCAACTATGGGACACGTGACTTCTCCATCTTGCAACGTTTATTCACTGTCTACTGACAATTACCCTAGTCCCTTCTTACATTCCTACCACTCTGGCCCAAGTTACCCTCTTCTGTTTCCCTGGGGGCATCATGTCTGCTGAGGGGGCCACCACCTGATGTCCAACTTGACCTGGGTCAGTGTCTGTGACTGTGACTTAACTATTATGTGGCACTCACCTTAGCGTCTTCAGCTGTGCTGTGACTAGGCCAAGGATCAAAACTCCAAAGCTTCAGAATCAGGCTTCCGTGGGGATTGTAGCAGGTGGAAGAGACGCTGTCCTGCCTTCTGGAGAATTGACTACCCAGCTCTGGTTGGTTGGCCCTATGTAGAAAAATGTGTTGCCAGATTTTCTGTTTTTCTAGAGAAAGTGGGGACAGTGTAGTGGCCAGGAGATAGACTGCACAGGTCTCCTTCTAACTCTACAGTTCAATAGCTATAGGGCTTTGGGAAAGTTTCTTATCATCTTTGTTTATCTATTTCCCCATCTGTGAAGGAGGACAATAACAGTACCTACCCCACAGCAGTGTTGGGAGGGGCAAATGAATTAAATACACATGAAATTTTTAGAACAGTGTTTATCCTCTGGTAAGTAACATACATATTTGCTCTTATAAAGTATTTTCTATTTCAGTGTAGTACAAAGTATTTTACTACACAAGATATAAAAAAATCCTTAGAATTTTAAGTGTTGGTAACTGATTTAATTAAAACTACATTCTATTTGGACAAAGAAAAACTATATAGGCTAGATCAGATCTCTAGGCTGACAGTTTATAATACCTGGTCAATAGGGGCTGGAACACAATTTCAGCACTGTGTTAGTCTAGGGGAGAGTGGGGAGGTTAGCACCCCTAAAATCAGAAAGTGCAGAATTTTATTTACATTTTTATTTATTATTTGGTGATTTGTTATAGCTTCTTTGTCTCCATTTTTTTTGTTAAATTTCAAGCATACAGAAAAGGATTTCACCTTATATACAACGAACAGGTAAATATACTTTACCCAGAACAGTCAGCATTTTGCTATTTTTGTGCCTCCTTCCTTCTTACAATGTTTATAGCCAAGCCACATAACGATACTATGAGACCTCGCCCCTAAGTACTTCAGTATGGCATTTGATTGGAAAAAGATATTTTTCTTTGGAATTATAATAACATCATCTCACTCAAGACAACTAAAAACAATTTCCTAACATCATGTAACATGTTTTTGTTTTCCAGCTTGTCCCCAAGATGGCTCCTGTAGATTTCTCTTGATATAATTTGTGGTGCGTGCCTTTAATCCCAGCACTCAGGAGGCAGAAGCAGGCGGATCTCTTTGAGTTCCAGGACAGCTGGGGCTACAGGGAGACCCTGTCTCAAAAAGACCAAAAAAAATTTTTTTTGATGTTGTTTGCTTGTTTGTTTGTTGAGATAGGGTCTCCTTATAGCCCCAGCTATCCTGAAACTCACTATGTAGACCAGGCTGGCCTCGAACTCACAGAGATGTGCCTGCCTCTGCCTCCCGAGTGCTAGTCTTAAAGGCTTGTGTCATCTTAATTTTAAATTTTGAACCAAGATTCTTTCAAGGCCAATGTATTGCATTTGGTAAAGCCTTTTTACCTTCCTTAGTCTGGAGCAGCACCTCCACCCTCAAGTTTTCTTTTTCAATATCAAGGAAATTGTAGTCTGGCTCTCTCTTTTGTATTCTTTCATCCACCTTACAATTCAACAAACATCTGCTAATTATATTCTCTGTGCCAGTAATGGCCATGAGTCACCTGGATTGCTTGCCAAAGAGAGTTTTAAACACCATTTTTCATCAGCGTCAGCTGTGATGTTGACTATAGATCTGTACTGTTTGACATGATAGCAAATCACATGTAGCTATTTGAATTTAATCAAACTGAAATGAAGTGAATAATTCAGTTCCATCATGCCAACCATTTTCAAGGGCTTAGAAGCCACATCTAGCTAATAGTTGCTCTATCTGACAACACCGAATAGAGCATATCTATCTTCAGGGAAGGGCCTGTTGCACTGTGCTGCTGTAGATTCTGGCTGAACCCTTGGCCATGTGCAGGATAAATACTGGAATTACATCCTCCACTACCTCCTGTTGGATTATCCTGCACACTAATAAACCACAAAAACAAACCTGTGTTCTAGACACCACCAGGCCCACTGAGTAATGAAGGAGGATCATCCCAAAGTGCTCTATATTCCTAGCCAGCCTGAACTGGCAGACGGGTGAGAAGCTCAACTCAGAGTATGAAATAGGCTCAGAACCCAGTAGAAGAAAAATCAAGGTGCGGGACAGGAGGGGAGCTGGGCAGGGTGGGAGAGCTAGGAGGATTAGACCATGCTATGATCTGAATGTTGTGTCCTTGAATTTATTTATGCTGAAATCTAATCCCCAATGTGAATGAATTTGGAGGTGAAATC